TAGCCAGGATTTTTTCCTCTGCCAATAGAGTCCAATTTTTAGCTGAAAATAGTTTTTCTGACAGAGGCTTGCCCATCAAAGATACTTTTTCCAGAAAAGATCAGATTTGTCATTGAAATTAAATTGTTGTCCACTCTATTGCTTTCTTCACTTATAGCTCAAATTTGGAATTAAAGCTCTTATTCCAGGAGAAGTTTCATGTTTACAAAATCCTTTTTTAGGACAGGGTCAAATAAATTACTGCAGAAGGCACAACCTTGTATTTTTTTCTCCAAGGTAAACCGCTCTGGGACAAGGGCTCCACATTTTGAGCACTGGCAAATTAAAATGCACATGTAGGTACAGATTTTGTATGGTACCGATAATGATATAACGATGATTCTATTTCACGTGGTTTTTTTAAAGATTATTCATGCACTTATAAGCCTCCCAATGTCCCACGAGTGTGGCACTGCAGCTAGCATCCTGGCCAATGCTTGCATAAAATACGGATATACACATTTATTGATGTTGAGAGGCATAGCCAAATACGCCAGTTTCATATTTTTCATTGTACCATTCGTAGAATGGACACATCTTGATGCTGTAATGCCAATTCCGGATCCAGGCATATTCCATCGTGCATTTTGCATGTTTATTTGTCTAACGGAATTTTTAAGTTTTCTCAATTCCTACCACTCATGTGCATAGATTCTACTAGTGGGTTGTGCCCTGTTATTCGGCCGAGTTTTACTGGATTTTGAGTATTTGCTTCTTTATGGGGTAAAAATACACCATCCTCTATATCCCCTCAATATTTACCGTCTACAATGCCAATGCCAACACTGAAGGAAAGATTTGACTTATTTTTGTGGTCAGTGGCTCTAAAATTATCGCTGTTTTTGATTTTTCTCACAAGTAGATTCAAAAGTTTAACAAAAAAGTACCAGTCATTGTATTTGTGGTGTTGAGAATATTTCTTAGAATAACCCCTGTGTTTTCTTTGTTTTATCTTTTCTTTCTTTTTCCAAGTTTCGCTAATCTTTGCGGAATTGAAATGAGTTATACAATTCGGAAGCAGTTTCGTTTTTATCATTTACTGTTTGTTTGATTATTTAGTATTGGCTAATATTACATCAGTTTAATGGCACAGAGAGATCATAGAGGCCCCTGGGGTAAAACGGGAAAATGCGGATCCCTACAAGCGAGCAGGAAATTTAACAAACACGCTCTTTAGGTTAGCTTTAAATACATTTCAGAAAGCTTTTTTGAAGTCATTATCTTTCGTTTAAAATAGTTTAGTATTTTTAGCTGAGTTCAGTATCAAATAGTTTACTTCTGTTACGTTGGATCAATTAGATTAAAGTCATTTTTATGTACTATTCACCATCTAAGAAGCAGCTTTTTGAAAACCTCCGATTACGACCTTTAAATATTATAAATGGAAATTGTGTTAAACTACCAACAATAAACCCCACCAGAAATAGAATGTGTGCTATTGAGGTCTTTAAGACCTTGAACGGCCTTGCACCACTTGACTTTATGAAGTACTTTTAGAAAGTAAAACATTTTAAAGCAACTTGTGGAAATGAACACAGTTTATTGCTTCCAAAAGTGACATCTGAAGCAAGACGGAAAACGTCTGCCATTTGTTACGATTCAGGCTGCTCTGTGTAATTTTTCAATATTTTTCTGTTACATATCTTTTCATTGAAAATACCTTTGTTTTTGCTTAGCCTCACTGATTCTGAGGCTATTGGAGAATTTAACTCCAGAACGCTAGTTCTTAGCATCAACAAAAGAATGAACGCAGAGAAAAGACTTCAGCTTAATCTTAAATCTCATAATCCTCCATTTTCTTCTTACAACTCCACGTGTCTACTACTCCTACTCCTGATTCACATGACGTTTTCATGTTAGTCAACGAGGAAATATGATATGCGGCAAAATATAAGCCAATCAAAATAACGAAAGCGTACCCCGGTAACCAATCAAATAATAAGGTGTTGCCAGTTGTTACGATAGTTCTACGGCAATTACGTATATAACATTCTACCAAAATTAGTTATGTCTTGCCAAATATTGCATATGAGTCAATGATTGAAAATGAAATATCATTTTTTCTCCAAATAAACCAGTGTTCTCACTTTGCTTCATGTAAATTTCCTTAAAACCACCCGAAAATTTGCTCAGATATCGGAAAAATTCCTTAGATTTTTGACAACCAGCCTTTTTGAAAAGATATAGTTAAAATGCCCCCTAACAACGGTGGCCATACAAATAAGTGTCAAATTGAGTCATTAATCTAAGGCAAAACACTTTGCCAGTTGTAAATAAATTTTCTGGGCAGATGTTTCCGGACCATGGATGGAAAGGAAACGCTGTTGCAAGGCTCTGGCCAGATGCTCTCAACATCACTGAACATGACCGGATTTTAAAATAAAGGCAGCTTCCGGAATAGTAACATTTTAGCATCATTTCGGGTCAAATTTTGTAATAATCAGACAGCTTTTTACATCTGAAAATCTGATATGGAAGAAGCTTCAGCTACGTCTGCCACAAAGAATAAATATTCTCAAAAATTCCGTTATGAATGGATGTCACATCCAACATTCAAACAGTGGCTTGTTGCTCCTAAGGCTGGCAAGAATGATCCTTGCTGCAAGTTTTTTGCTAAAGCTATTTCGTGCAATAAAACAGCCTTGCAACGCCACAGAGAGTCTACTCAACGCAAGAAAGCTTGCGCTTGTGCCAAGAATCAAGTCGGTCTCTCTGCCTGTGTAAAAAAGCAGATCGACAGAAGCACATATAAAGAAACAACAGTGACATAAATCGCAGCCTTCATTGCGGAGCATAATTTATCAGTCAGCATCAGCAGCTCTCTTCTGAGTCTTCTCCAAGCCAGAGGTCCAAAGGACGCTAAAGAATCAGTTAGCCTCCAGGAAACACGTGTGGCAGCTACCAAGTGTACCAACGCTACTCGCCAAGTCACTGGTACATATTTCAGGAACTTGTTAAAACGTTACGTTTCAGCATAATACCAGACGAAACCACTGATGTTTCTTCCGAAAAAAAGTTGGGCATTTGCGTTATGTACTGCAAGGAAGATGATCTCCGTCCAGTCATAAGAGAAAAAGATTCTTTTGGAGAACATTATTGGTTTTGCTTCTGACACGTGTAATGTGATGTTTGGTCAAAAACATAGTGTATCGACCTTGCTGAAGAGATATTTGCCAGATGCTAGCACAGTTAAGTGTAGCTGCCATATGATTCATCTTTGTGCGTCACATTCTTGTATAAAATTATCAACCTCTCTTGAAGAATTGTGCAGAAATATATACGCACATTTTAGCAGATCAACTCTTGGACAGACAGAGTTAAAGTATTTCCAGGAGTTTGCAGAGACCCAACCGCATAAGATGGCTGTCTTTGGAAAGCTGTTTGGATAGAGTGATCGAGCAATGGCAAGCATTGCAGCTTTATTTTACAAATTACGTTTCTGAAGGTAAAGATCCATCATACACAACCGAGTCTATTCTTCAGGGACTGCGCAATAAGTTTGTTAAGGCAAAACTGGAGTTCCTGAATAGTCAACTTCACCGGCTGAATTGTTTTAACAAAATGTTCCAAACAGCTGAACCAATGCTCCATCACCTGAGAAGTGCAGTTCTGAAGCTTCTGAAGAACATTCTTCCAGACTTCATTAGATTTGACACTGTTAGGAGAAAGGACCCTTTGACAACAGATATAGACTTTCCCGAATCGCGAGTACCTGTAGACAAAATCTACATGGGTGTAAATGCTACCATTACATTATCAGATTGCAATGATCCTGAAGCAGCCATCAAAGTGAAAAGGACATGTCTTGGTTTCATGATTGAGCTTGTGAAACAAATCAGAGCACGATTCCAGATAAACGACCCAATTTTCAAAGCCTCTGAGATCCGGTTGGCAATCAATGCTTCTAAGTGCAATCCACCCTCTTTGCTGGAGGTGTATCGCGCTATGCCATATATAGAAAATATTGCAGATATCCAAGCAGCGGATCTTGAATGGAGACAGCAGGCATTGGAAGAACAATCAGAAGTCGATGCAGATGACACCATATCGTGTTTTGGAAGCAAAGATTAAATGTCAGAACAATCACAAGCTCCGCAAAGTATCCTAATTTAAGGAAAATTGTCTCTGCCATCCTTACTTTGCCCGTCTCCAATTCCTCTGTTGTGCGTCTTTTTAGTTTATTGAAGTTGGTAAAAACATCAGCAAGAAATAACTCAAAAGAGAGACACTTGTTGGGCAGATACACACCCAGGATGGCTTGAAAGTCAACCAATTGCATGCACACCAGTTAGATGACAAATTTTTACGTCTTATCCGCACAGTGAAAAGCAATGCAACTGATTTTGAAGCACAAGAAATAATAATGCTACAACTTTGTTCAGATTAATATGACTGTTTTTAAAGACCTTTTTGATGACTCAATTTCTTCTCTTGCTTTATTTTTATACAATGTTGTGTTTGGTTTGAAATGTATAATTTTCTGTTATCATGGAAGAGCAATTTATAAATTTTTCAAAATTTTAAAAATCCCTCAAAAAGTTCCTTGAAAAGTAGAAAAATTTCCTTAGTTGAGGGAAATTTCCTTAAAAGTGAGAACACTGAAATAAACTCCTCACTGATTTCAAGTTTCACTCAGCGCGGGAGGGATTGCGCAGAATGGATTGCGCAGGAGGGATTGCGCGGTTTCCCGCAGACAACAGTTCCGCATTCAGCAATTCGTTCCTAGAACAGGGGGTAGTTCCTTTTTGCTTAGAATTCAGGGAAAGAAGTTAGATCCATAACTTGAAGATACCTACGAATGAGAGCATACGTATCTTACTTAATGATGTACTTTTAGACGGTGTATTCCTGCTTGCAGATTGCTAGAAGCGTCCAACGAGCTTGGTCTAAACGCGGACGGTATCTTTTTATTCACTTTGAATTGGCTTTGAAAAGGAGACAGGCAGCAATTTTTATCAACAATGAACGATATTATAATTCGGACTAACAGCAGTGAATACTCCGCTGGCAGCATCATATACGGTGTAGTATATCTTCGTCTTTTGGAACCTGTTGTAGCTGATACAGTCTACGTATCTGTTTCTGGGAAAGAGAGGTGTAAATGGAAGCAGACTGTCCCGGTCGTGGGGCAATCACTCCCTCGAAGTCGATCCACCTCTGGCGAGTCTACTGATACTGGGTTCTGTGACATATCCACTGGTGAGGATACTACAAAACCAGAGGTGGCATTCAAGGAGATAGTTTTTGATGGAGAGCATATCCACCTCAAGGATGAGTTCTGTCTTGTTGAATTTAAAGAAGGAGTTATTCCACTGGGTTGTTATGCATTTCCTTTCAAATATACACTAAAGCAAGGTCTTCCAAATAGTTTCAAGAGGTCACCAACTTTTGATGAAGTAAAACACGCTATGTACGAAGCAGAAATTGTGTACAGTATCACAGCTAAGCTAAACAGTAGCTTATCACAACATGCTGCGGATGTTCATTGTTGCCATGAAATTAAAGTAAGGAAAGATGACTTGATGGCACGAAAAGAGACTAATTTCAAGAAGACAGCTAAAGCTCTGATTAGGACTTGTTTTTGCTTTCCGAAAGGGGAAATCATCCTAAATGTTTCTTTGGAAAAAGTCACATTCACTCTGGGAGAAACAATATTTGTGAAATTTGATGTTCAGAACAGGACAAATAGTATAAATGTCTCACAGGCAAAGATTAGACTAATGAAGACTATGAATCTAAAAGGTAAAAGGGTAGAAGATGGTGAATATATTAGTGAAAGAATTGAGGCTTTTCCAGAATATGATTTAATCATTGTACCACTGGAAATGGGGAAGTGTCAAGAAAAGTCATTCAATATACCCATTGAGTTGAAAAACAAATGCAATGAGCACCTTGCTACTACGATGGGACCCATTGTAAAAAATATTTATCACCTTGATGTTGAGCTTGATGTCCCACTTGACAGTGATGTCTCTATTGTTGTTCCAGTTCAAATTTACCCATCTGCAGTTGAAACATGGGAAGAGTGGACACCACCTGACTGGGTAAAAGAGGTGCAAGTTCACAAAGTTGAACAATTGTATGCTGTTTCTAGGCAGTTGCTTATTTCAAATGAATTTTCACAAATTCCTCTACCGTTTGCTGCACTCTATGATGTTTAGTTGTGAAAAAAGATGATTTACTTGTAATGGATGAAGTATTAAGCAGTTATAATCATCATATCTTTTAAAAAAAGGAAAGTTAAAATCTTGTTTTTTTTAGTATATTATGTTTGTTGAGGATATTGAAGATATTATGTTATATGTGTTAAATAAATTCTTAGGTTAATTATTGAATAGTAAAGTGATCCTCCCTTTTTTGAAATATGTTGAAAATTTGGAAACATTTCTACAGTTTGAACTAGCAAAGCAAGACATTTTTGTAATTTTTTTTCATGGTACAAAGATCGAAAGAAAAAAATGAAACAGCTTAACTTATAATACAGAAGAATATTATCTACACGCTATCATTAATTGGTAATCATACACTTCTTTTACTTCAAAACATGCAGAACTTTGATTCCTCTTTAGGTCATGTTAATTCTGCTAACCCCTACAACTTTTAACAATTTAACTATCATCTCAAATTTGTTCTTCTTGATGTTCTGCTTTTATAATTGGGCTGGTGCTATTAAATCCTCTTTGCTTTTTGATAAAATCCAATCAAAAGATGTTTGTCTCATCAGAAAATTCAACCTTACAGAGTCGTTCCCACCTCTACTTCAATGATGTTGTAAATACATACATATACATATGAAATTTAATGTTGTAAGCACTGCAGCGCTTGTTTATTAATTTAATTAAAAATACTATTTTTCATTTATCTCTTGATTCTTAGCTCTTGATTCTTAACATCAAAACAAAAGAAATAACTCTTTAAACAAAAAAATTCAGTTTTAATATCTGGTCTTCCCAATGCTTATCAACACTGTTTTTAAAGATATTCAAATTTTGCACCTGGACTACTTTTTCTGGGAAACTATTCCAGGTACTGATGCATCTATCTGTAAAAAAGTTCTTCCGAATGTTTGACCTTGAGACAGATTTTACCAGTTTCAACTGATGTCCATGTGTGTTGTGAAACTCTCTTTAATCTATGCTAAATGGTGCCAACATCATACTTTTCATTTAGATATTTGTATAACTTGAATCATATCTCCTTTTAAGCATCAAAATGCTAGAGTTGGTAAATTGACAGCCATAAAGCGCTTGGAATAACTTAGGTTCTTTGCTACATTGATCATTTTTATAGCTTGTCTTTGCACAGATTCAATTTTCGCATTGATAGATTTAAAGTATGGATGTCAGATTGTGTTGTTATATGCAAGAATTGGTCTTACTAGTGATTTGAACAACATTTAAAAAGACCTTTCATCAATGTATGTAAATGACCGTCTTATGAGACCCATAATTCAATTTGCCTTGGAAACAGTCAGATCAGTGTGTTGTCTAAAAGTTAACTCCTTGTCTATGGACACACCAAGGTATTTTTCTTTGTCTACAACATCTAACATTATTTCATTGCCATCGGAATCTGTCATACAATCATCAAATGAGGGATTTTTCTTTCCAATTCACAATATTTTTCACTTTTGCAGACCCCATCTCTTAACTCCAATAACTGATTCGATCAAGATTTTTTTGAGATTTCTATAATCCTCAACACTGTCAACTTCAGAATAGATTTTTGTGTCATCATCAAACACTTTCACCTTATTCTGAATAACTGGCGAAAGATCGTTTATATAGCAGAGAAACAAAATCGGTCCAAGGATCCTCTCTTTGGGCCCTTCAAGTGACATCTGAATCCGTTCAGAACTACTTTTTGTCTTCTTGATGTCAGAAATGATTTAATCCTAGTGTCTTCCCCATTATTCCCTATGAGGACAATTTTACTAAAAGACGTTTGTGAGGAACTGTATCAAATGCTTTCATTATATCCAAGTAGTGTTGCTAAACTATTAGTTTTTTATAGATACTGGGCCTAGATGGCAAGTGATTAAAGATATTATATGCACATTCTCAAAACAGTTACTCTTCCTGTGCACACTCATTCCAAATTGCCTTGTCACATTCACCAAGTTTGCCTGCAGCTCATCTTTCATTCTCAGGGTTTGGTAACTTTGAGCCTTTACCCTCTTCTTGCTTCCCAGATTCTGCCTTCTTTCTAAACTAAAATCAACAAACTTGATCTCACCTCCCTCACTTCTTAGCCTCTCCCTCCCCTTGCTAGGGCTTAGCTACAGACCTCTCAACCTCTCCCCAATATAAACAATTAAAACATATACTGTACAAAGATACAAATAAAATTCTTGACCTTTAAAGACACCATCCCAACTTCTCCACAGTCCCCGCCCCTATCCAAAAAAAGAGCTGATTGTGTCATGTTCTATTTCAATTCCTCTTTGTTGTAGGCCCTTCCTGTTTGTTGTCAGCATTTCAAGGAATAGCTTCATTTTCCAAAATTTTCAAGATTTTACATGAATAAGGTACCAACCTCTGTTTCTAGAAACCTCTTGCCATCAACTCCAAAATAAATTCTAAAGGTTAATTTTAAATTTCTCATGGCATGAAAAGGAAACATGTTTGAAATTGCTTTTCATCTTGATATATAGATATTAACCAAGTATATAAGTAGTGTAGTTATTTCCCATCATGCAATAAAATGTTTTCAACTTACAATGCATATTATATTTTTGTAACCATTTTAGTACAAAAACATCGTCATAAATCACCAAATTTATCCATTTCTTTTATAATTTGTTGTACATTGGGCGCTAGTTTTATGAAATTTTGTTATTTGATTATTTCTAAACCAGGTTCACTCATTTAATTTTATGCCAGTTAGAGTAAAAAGGGATGATCAACAGAAGGAATTTTTGGATATTTCAGCCAAACTTGTAGCTAAAGGAAAATATTTTGATTTGCTTGCTTCCTGTACTTTCTTGCTTGCAATATGTGAAAAAACTTGGCATCTGTTTTATGTTGGATTGTTTCAGCACCTGTTTTCCTATAGATTCATAATAATACTTTGTACTTTTGATATTAACTGGGAAATCATCCAAAGCAACCTTCATCTGTCTTTAAAACACCTATGGCCATGTAGATGAATATTGGGTATTATTCCATGTACTGGCAGTTTTCTGATTCAACCTTTAAGAGGATTTTGAGATGTTTTTCTTCAACGTCACCAAAAAGTTATTGTTTCCAATAAAACATGTTATAACATGACACTTCAAAGTTAGAAATTCCAAAACCAAAATTCAATGCTAAATGCCTTTGGCTCATTTAACAAACCATGTTTAGCTAATTAAGCTTGGCATTTACCCAATATTTTAACTGTCTTCAAACCGAAGCACATCACAGATAACCATACACGGGTGCCAGAACGACAAAGGGGCAAGGAAGCAGGCTTCAGTAAAAGGGCATTTAGCAAATGATTTCTAACTTCTACTAATTTTGTTGCAACTGTCATTTTAAATTTTATTTGAAATGAAGGCATCTTGAAAATTGGCTAACTGCTTTTATAAGAATTTTTTTACAAATTTTGAGATATTTTGTCATGAATCAGACACTACAGTCAGGATTTAATATTATTATCTCTTTTGATAATACATTACAGGTCACTGTCAAGGGTACATTTATCAAAAAAGCACTTTGATGAGGGGCAGTTGCCCCCTGTACTGTCAGTGGTTCCTATCTGCTGCTGAATGAACATAAAAACTTAAATCTCAGTATCAAACATCAGATATGGATTCAAACCCTAAGACTTAACCAAGCAGCTAAACATGGATCCAAACGTTTCTCAAGTTCTCTAACAGCTTTGACATTATACCATGGTGAAAAGTACTCTAAATGATCAGAGCCAACATCAATCTTTTAAGCCCAGTCCTGTAGGCTGTGGGCCAAGTGCAACTGACAACTCTTTGAGGTTTCAGGAAAGGCAACAAGTATGTCCTTGTTGTTTCTGTTTTAAATGATAGGAAATGGAAGTAATCAAAATTTAAATAGTCAACTAGATATGAAAATCCTATCAAACGCAGAGTGAACTTGAACTTGAACTCGAGAAAAAAAATAATTTATTACTTTATTCTTTGTATTGCTTCTGATAGACAAGAACTACAAAATGTGAAAAATCAAGGAGTGCCCTAAGCAAAAAAATTTTTCTCATTGCTACTGTCCTCGCTACAGTTGTCCCTTGGAAAACCTGCATAAGGTTACATTAAATGTTTTCTGGATAAAAACATTAAATTTTTTCACATTCAAGTAGCTGAACTTTTAATGCACACAATGTTCAAAATCTGAAACAAACAGAAATTTTGAAAATGGAAAAAATCCCATGGTTTCCAATACGAATGTTTCCATAATTTCTTTATCAGAACTTTTAGTTGAGGCCTGAAAATCTCTTGACCTGTTACTTAAGCCGATTATCGTTGCTTTGTAGTTGTGGTCGCATGTCTCATTTACAATATTGCATATCCATGCATCCAATGTGCAGGGGCTGTGTTTATTTAAAAAGGCTTATTGACCTTAAAGCTCTAAGTTACTTGACCCAGATTACACTGTGGTTTACGAGTGTAGTACCTTGCAAGTACGATCAGTAAAGTCCTGTTTTCTCCGAATTTACAATGCCTCTACATACAGGTATGAAAAAGCTATTTTGTACCCAAGGAACCCGTCAAATGGCTCAAAACTTTGCACACGGCCAGGACAGATGTTGAGTTAGCAAAGTATGTCTCAAACTTTTTGTATTTGTTCTGGCCCATCTTTTATAGCCACATACAACTATGAGAGGGAAGAAAAATTGTTTGCCAATTTTTGACAGGGTATAGTTTCAAGGGGAGGTGGAGTGTGAATAATCTGAGGACCCTCTGAGGTCTGGATTTGATTGCAGTTTTCAACCAGGTTTGAGAAAGCTCAAGCAATTACCCAAAGTGTAAAGGAATGAAAAAAGTGCTATTTTGATAAGGGGGCAAATTTGTGTGTGCACCCTGTTGATATCATCCATTTTTGCTCTAAGAGAAAGTTAGGGATTGAAAGTTGAAACTGCAAAGTTAGGCATTTTATATTGATTGCATTATTTTAAAAAGTGTACTAGTTATCAATATTTCAAATGTTTACTGAATTTAGAACAACAGGTTTTTCCACTCTCTATTTTAAGCAAAATTAGAAAGTCCTTTTTGATGAAAACATGTAAATTTAAGCTACTCTTAAAACTATACCCATCACTTGGGTGTGCAATTTATTCAGAAATATTATCTGGAGTGCAGCTGCCGTGGAATCCATACTGGCCTGACACAATTGCATCATATCTGTCTATCTAACAAGAAGGAAAGAGGGGGATGCAATAGGAAACATTCAAAAAATGAGTGCAGTTTACCAAGAGTTATGGCAGGGCAAAGTCTGCAGAGTATGGCAGATGCATGTGCAAGGTCAGGATAGTGCTGCATGCCAACATTTTCTGATTGCACACCAAATTTGCTATAGTTCTATTAAAAACTTCTATTTGCAAGCCAAATGAATTGTCAAGAGAAGTTGCACATGGAAAATGTGGCATGAATGAGTTTTGCAAACCCAAGACTGTCATACTTTGAAGAGACTGGTGGCAGGGAGCGTAGCAAAAACTTTTGATGTCAGTTGTGTGGAATCCCTTCTTTTGGTAGAATGATGGAACTTTGATACTATTTGGCACATGCAAATTTTCTTCAGCACAGATTGGTGAACCGCTAAAGATCAAATATATTTCTCCCAATCTTAATATCTACGGCAGCTGCAAACTTTTAAAAATGTTTCTCCTGTAAAACTTCAGTTCCTCGATGCTTTCTTTTATATCATCTAGTGCCCTGTGCCTCTCTTTTTTTACCGGACATTTTTGATATTCTTCGGAGTACCACCTACGACATAACTCTTTCACAGTGCTAACATCCACGATGCGGTAATGTAAATGCCTACTCAGATTCGGCATATATTTCTCTAGAAACATCTTATCCGTATGAACTGAGTTTCCTGCAAGAGGGCAACATCCTTTCTTAGTGTGGTTTTGGACAAATTCAAGAACGATCTGCTCCGCGTCTTCTAACAAAATTCTTGACTGTAGGACTTTTGCAGTTAGTCCTGACTCCCCATGCTGCCGCGTGCACCATTCATCCATGTTTTCCATTAATTCTTTAGACTGGTGTATCACTAAATCAGGCCCTTGAGCAATGATATTCAAGTCCTTATCGGATATTAGGACAGCTATTTCGATTATTGCGTCATGGTTAACATCGAGACCAGTCATTTCAAGATCAATCCAAACTAGATTGTCAGCCATCATGGATGCACATGTGATGGATGTAACAACAAACCATTGATTAACAACCACAACCGATTAGATTAGAATTCAAGTTGAATTGAATTACCTGCACAGCTTAGCCCATATTTGGACGCATACATACCTTATTTAGAAAATGATTGACAGCTATAACCACGACTGCTGTCTCACGCTGAGGGAGAAAACTTGCTTTGCGATTACCTTCATTATTTTAGCGTTGGAAAGGACATAAGCAATGTTGGAATTGACACAATCGATTTAGGAAGGAAAAGTCGAAGATATTATTCCATGTTTCTTTTTTTAAAGAAAGGTATTAAGATTAAAAAACATAGTTAATTCCTGAATGATGCTGGCCTTTCTGTAAATGCAGAGTTGTTGGAGTAGACGTAAGCGACGGCAAAGCGTCTGTGCTGCCTCTGGGCCTGTACAACCAATTTGCTGTCAAACTTTTTGGTTCTTTGAGATACCTTCTGAAATTTTAGCAGTAATTATAAAAGGAAAACCTTCTTTTAAAATATTGAACCAGTCTGTCCACATTAGTGGAATTTAATAACTGGATTCATGTCTGCGAAGCCCTCTTGTAAGTTAGGCCTTAATAAAAGAAAAATGGCGGATAGTACAGTAACAAAAAAGGACGAATGATCGGTCCTGATAATTGAAATAGGGTCAAAAATCCTTCCTAGTTGTGCGATGTTCAAGCAAAATTAAGCAAGAAATTATTGAATGCAGCGGGCTCGAGAAGTGTTCCCATTGCAAACGCGATTTTCTTCAGGAAGGAGCAGGGTTCCTGATCATTTTCGAAGACTGCGAAAGTGGCAGATCTGGATGAACATTACTGTCATTAACTGAGTACAAAATAATCAGTTCATGATTTGGTTCCTGTACTATTAGTCATTCCATATCGCTGGGTGAATTTAGCTTGTGAAGTTCTGTTAACGTATTTTAAAAAGCGAGAAGAAGCAGGCGGTAGTTCCTTGCAGTCCACCTGTTTAAATACGTGTAATGGGGAATTTAAGAGAGGAAGGCTTTTTGTTTGACTCAATGGATATGATCCAGGATCCTTCGTCAGGTTTGATGGAATCTATTTGAAAAAGATTTGTTTTATCTCGTGTTTCTATATTTTCTTACCTTAGGCCAGCTCGTTGAATTCATTTTGTACTCCCGATACCTGCCTGTCTCTCGCCTTGCTTTTATCAGTATTCCTACGTCCCTCATTTAGAAACTTCGCCTTATCTTCAAATTTTGATTAAACTTTGTATTTAAAGATAGACAAAAATGGAAAAATACGTGGATAAAGATAAATTAACTGAAATCGAGTTGCTTGCGAGATTAGAAAAAAGGGGAGGAATGCACTTTTACATTTAGCATATTAACTTTAACCAACGGTGGTTATATTGCTCGTGCTCAAAAGTGTTAACGTTTTTGCTCAAGAATATCAAAATACTGGCAATATTTCCTCTTTGAAATGCATTATAGAATAATCAATTGCTTTAAAATACTTATTGAGAGTTATGCAACAATCAGGTACAATTGAGGCTAATTAATGCTATGGAAACAAATAAGAATTGACTGACATCTTTTGATATTCTTATCGAGATCTTGATAACATAGGAGTGTTGTATTTATTGGTTTTGTTAGGAGCAGCAGCATTCCACCAACCCAGTATTTTTGTTTCCTTGTCCAGATAGACATATTCAGGATGTTTACATTTGAAATAAAAGATAATGTTTTAGGTTGGAGTAGGTCTTCTGGTTGGTTTCACTTGCCAGCTCTTGTTTTAATTGGTGCATTTTTAAAAGTTATTACTAAGAATTATTATTACTAAGAATTAATTTTTGCTTGATAAGATCTTATATTTTTACTGAAATTTAATAACCCTGTCAAAAGTTATACCAACAAACCTACAACATTCTTTTGAATATTTCATAGCAAGAGATGGGACTAAAAGTGATATAAAGCGCTTCTGTAATTGAGATCTTTCCATAAAGCCTAACAAACAAGAAACAACTGAATTTAGCTCAAAGATGATTACCTGTCAGATTCCTAGTCATTGTTTTCCCATAGATTTATAAGAAACTTTGTGTTGTTGATGAAATTCAAAATGGCTAGGAAAATTGTAAACACTATGTCTTATGCTGATAGCATCAAGGCACAAAGGGCATTCTAATAGACAAAATGTGCCCTTTTTACACAGCTCTGGTTTTTCATTTGGTTCAGGAAAAGTTACTATTAAGTTTAATTTCTTGTAATGTAACTACGTAATGTGAGGAAGAATCACTTTGGTTATATTCTGATTCTAAGAAGCTGAAAAAAGCAAAAAATAATAAAAACATCCAGATTAGATTCAGATATTAACTTTTACTTAGTTTAAGCTTGATGATGAATTTTAAGATTTTTGTCATAAATGGGCATAAATATGCAAAAGTAAGGAGACTGTATAAAATAATCTTTTGAGAATTTTCTAATTTTTTGGATGTTGTAGAGTAAGGAAGTATGGAGATAACAATGTATGATGATAACAATATGTTACAAAAACCAGGCCCAAGATCCCCACTCTCTTGATAATGACACAGCTGGGATGAATGGGGTATTCAAATATTTTCGACATTTTTTATGTTGGAATTGAAACACATTTAAACTATTGAAATTTTTCTACAGATTTTTTTTACAAAACACGTGACAAACAAGGGACTTAGATTTGCTGAAAATTAAAAAAAATCATTAGAAATATTGACAGGGCAAGCTGGGACAGCTAATGTAGAAAATTTAAGCGCAGGGATGTCAAAGCAACTTAGGGGTAAAGGAGCAGCCTTGAGTTATAAGGCATTTGAAAAGTAATTCCCAGCTTCTAACAATTCTTATGTAACAATCATTTAATTTCAGTCCTCTGTAGGCATCAAGAAAATTGGCTAACTTTTTGCTAAGAAATTTTTAACAAGTTCTTTGATAATTACAAGAGGCTATTGTCAAGGGAACTTTTATATAAAAGGCACTTTGGTCCCCCTTCCCCATCCTATCAAAAGGCAATCTCTGGCATCCCAGTGTAGGGGCCTCTTTACATGAAGTGGGCTAGCCCATTTAAGTGGGCTGGTTAGCTTGAGTGGGATCGATGCTTTCTCTCCATTCCTTTGTTCTCTGTATTTCTCCATTCCTTTGTTCTCTGCTCAGGTGAGATTCTCGAGAAGGACGGGTGGGATCTGTGTCAGGTGGGATGAAAATTACCCATGTAAACGCAATCAGGTGGGCTAGCCCACTGACTGAAAGTCATTGCACTTGCATAGAGGAAGTTGGCGCCAAACTAAACCAAATCATAATGTCGTATGAATCAGCAGCAAAAGTTCGGCCTCTTCTGCTATAACTGTAATAAAGGTCTACAGAAATCTAGAGAATTAAAACGTTTTCTCAATTGAAATGACACTAACATGTTGATTGTATACTTTTGATAGAGTGAACACAAAATCAGAATTCCGTCTAACTGAAGTACGAATCCGAGCATAATGTGTGATTTAATGGTCAGAAAAGGAATGCAATTGTTTTTCGCCATTGTTGAGGAAGCCTGATATTTATTATTGTGGGGCCAAAAACTAAAAAACCTCATTTAAAATTTTCAAAAAAGAGGCTGTTGCCATCCTACCTAAATGAGATAAATTGTGCCCTCATGTAAATGCTTGCAAATGCAATCTCACCTACAGAAACTAGCCCACTCAAGTGGGCTATCCCACTTCATGTAAACAGGCTCTAAGTGTTCAGTGTTTTAAAATAAAAGCAAATCTATGGTGTTGTGACTGTTTTCTTTTTCAGTTTGATTATCAAAAAGCTATTAGACTATTGTTGGTGATGGAATTTCAATAGTTTCCAAAAATTAGGCAGAAAATATGAGAAGAAAATCAAAATCAAAGCTGAGCTAGATTTAAGTGTGTATTTTATATATGAAAAAGGGTGGACATTTATTCATGTTCTTTATTCTTCTCAAAATCCACTAAGGGGAATCTTTTTCTGACAAAGGAGACCAAAATTTAAACTGTTTTATCAGTTCTTAGAAATAAAAGCCTTAGGTTTATTTAAAACTAACACTTAAAAAGAAAATTATGGGAAAATACATCATTAGTTTTTTCACACAAAAAGAACAATTAAGCTAAGAATTGCTACATCATATGTGTTTATGTTTTCAAAACACAACAACAGGAATGGCTCATAAAATATGGCTTCATGAACTCCTGTTGAAGAAAAGCACAGTATAGTAATATCTTTCAAATAATAATTCTTTAGAAATTTATAAGTGATTTTGCCAAATGCTAACATCCCAAATAGTTTCTTTCCTCAACTAATATCTGCCAAGACAACTACAAACATACCTGCACGTTGTTTGGGGAAGCAATTAAGAAATGTGCTATTCCTCAAATGATTTTCTGAAGAAAGGCATACAAAAAGTTTTATCTGTAGTGCAGATCTGCCAAATCCATGCAGAGCTGTTATTCTCACCCCAAACATTCAGTTTTTCCTTTTGATATCAACATGCTCTTGACTTTGATAAGTTACTCATTGTTCTGAAAGAAATCAAAGCAGCCATGACTGAAGTACCATAAACAGTACTTTAATAGACATTTAAGCACCAAGTGTGCTGCGATTCCAATACTGTTTTTTTAATTTAATAATGTCTTTTTATGTTTGAAATACAAATAATGTAAGGCTTCTCACCTATTATTAATCATTCTCACAGTGTGTCCCAATTTCAGCTTGGTTGTAGTTGAAGATTTGGCACTCTGGAGTATGAAAGTTTGGTGTTTAGCAAAAAATTGATTGCAAATCTGTAAGAACTTCTTTGTTTTATTGATGTGCTAGAGTCTTCTAATTGGTATTTTTTCTATAATACTTTTTAATTTTTTTTTTAGAATCTGAGAACTTGAATCCTATCATTGTAAGAATGGTAAGTTTTCAAATTTAAAGCAAATAATATTATCTTGCCTGTAGGATTTTTTGTTTGCTTTAGACAAGCTACATATTTATTGAGTAGCATGGAAAATAATTTATTGTTTAAAAATGATCTTAACTTACAACTATAATAACTTAGCTAGAAACAGGTAGCTGTATGGTGACTTTAAAACATATTTTGTACATTGTGATCAGCTGAAAATTATGGCTCACTAAGGATAAGATAGGGTTAACAGACAAAACACAAATAATTTTTGAAATATTAATGGTAAATATGAATGTAATGGTAAAGAATTTCTGTTGATATATTTCTTACCCATATTTGTATATTTGTCATTTCAGGGTTCTTCTGGAGGGGAGCCAAGAATGCTTCTTAATGCCTTAAAACCAATGCTTGGCATTGATGGTGACATTAAAACACCACAAGAAGTTTTGAGAGTGGTTGGGTAAGCCAGAAATTTTCCCAAGCAAACAGCAAATATTTCTGTTAAAATTATATTTTTGCATCACATTGACATAATTCTCATTCGCTTAAAACCTGACACTGCCTTGTATTTGCTAGTTATCCTTGTTGTTTGGATTGTGGTTAGGATTAGAGTTTAGTATCAAAGCAATGATCAATGCAGCCACTAAATACATCCATCCATCAACTAACATGTTGTTTCCAACCCAGTGAGTCCTATTTAATGTGTGGAGAACATGGAACTAGAAAAAAGACGTTGTGCATGTGGCATGTATTGATTCTAGCTGAACTAAAAATTACATTTTTTGGCAGTACAGAATTTGAAAATGGCTTTGAAAAAAGCAATTATTATACAACATATTAACTAAAATATTTTTCGTCTGAGACTACTCAGCGCATAAAACATCAGAACGAAGGCTCGAAAGAACATGATTAAAAATATATACCCATATGTGGATTTAAAAAGGCCAATCAGAAAAACGCAAGCACAAGACCAGTATAGTTGACCAATCAGTGCTGCGTGAAAAATTACCACTGGAGTCCAAGAGAGAAAATGAACTCTTTCTGTCTCCACAATTGCAGCTTTTTCGTTTGTATGTAGATCGATTCCAAAACTGCTAGATGGAAAGACGACCAGGCTCTGCCAATTATCTGAAACATATCCTGCCTTGGCCAATTATCCTCTGGGACCTTCCTTGGCCAACATCTTTGTTGGCTTTCATGAAGCCTGGTGATATTTTTCTAAAACGCCTTAATAACCTACACCCAGCCCTCCAGTTTTCATTTGAAAAGGAAGATAATGATTCCTTGCCATTTTTAGATGTTTTGGTCATAAAGTCTATCACTGGATTTCTTAACATGGGTATATCTCAAGCCTACTTTTATCAGTCTGTACATAAGCTGGAATTCATTTTGCTCAAAACAATATAAAGTCAACCTTGTCAAAACCTTAGCACATAGGGCACTGATGATCTGCTCAAAGTCTAAACTGCACGTTGGACTGGAAAAACTTAAAACAATCTTTCTGGACAACGGTTATCCAGAAGATGTCATTTTATCTTATACTAAGGAGAAGATTGCAAGTTTTTTGGCTGTTCAAAAGTTTGGTCTGCAAAAGTTCCCAGTTTATTTGAAACTACCATGGATTGGTAACATTTCATTGCAATTTGAGAGTCAGATTAACCTACTGAATAGACAGCTTGAAACTCTAAAATTAACATGGGTTATGTTGGCAAAACAAATAGGGATTAATGAATGTGTGATTTGAGAGTGAAGTAGAGGATGCTTGTGCTTTGACATTTGAATGTGATGAAATGAATGAGAAGAAAGTCACTAACAATGTCCAATTAGAGTCAATACAGGACTTTGTTACTGTAAATTTCCTTCTCCCTTTTGAATGATACCCATTTTTGCAAGGGCAATTGTTAACCTGCAGAAATAGTTAACACATGTTTATATGTTTTGACAAAAGCAATAGACTGGGTAAACTGACCCAGAGACTGCATTGACAAGCCTTCATAATGTGCCACAGTAACAATGATGGTTGGCATTGTTTGTCAAAATTTCATCTTTTTATTTTTATGATGAATTATTTATTTTTGTTGCTAATTGCTGGAAATAGCTAAATGTCATCCCTTAGCATACAAATATTTTCAAGTGTCATTAATTTTGTTTGAATTGATTTGAGTTAATTTGAGTTGTTTTGAGTTGATATGGTGTATTTAATGGAATATGTAAAAGGTGTAATCTTTTAGGCTAAACCGTCAAATGCACAGTAAATATGAAGGCCGTAATCTTCGTTTTTAAAATTTCAGTTTGATGAAGGATGCTGAAAAGATGATGAGCAGATGCATTTACTTGAACATCTTGAGAGCAACTTGTGATCAGTCTAAAGGCAATTTAGTTAACAGAGACACACTAGAGAGGTATGTCACTATAAATCCATACACTGAATATTTTATTTCTCATGTTTAAATTTTTTCAAGATGGATTATTACATAATGCAGCTTATGCTCATTAACAGGCTTACCCATTACTCACTCTATCAAATGCATTTAGGATACTTTTAGATGTCTCAAAAGGCAAATATTTAGTATGTTTATGTAAAACAGAAACTTAACATCGTTCAGCTTAATGTAATTCTGTATGTGACATGGCAATATCAATTATATATACTTTATTTCCAAAACCAATTTTGCTGTGAAAAGGATGCAGGCCTTTTCGTAAGAAATAGCCCACGCAAGTGGCCCATCGCTCGTATGATTTCTCTTGCGCGAGCGATCGCTCCAATAGTGAACAAATTGATCCTGTTATAAGGTACCCTTTGTTTGAGGTAACACCAAATGAAAAAGAACTGCTAGGATGACCTTTAATGTACTCCAGGAAAGACTAAACCCCCTTTATAAGTGTGCTTCGTTTTGTACAATTTATGTACATCACGAAGGTCATAAAGACGTTATTGACAGATGATTGCAAAATGTTGTACCATACTTTTTTGAAAAAGCCTTTACTGCCCAGAAAATTTCTTAAGTGCTATTGTTGTTCAAATACTAAGTACCCAAAGAAGTCCAAAACATTCGCTGTGGAATTTATTTTAAAATGCATTTTTTCGTTGAGATGTGGTTAAGTCAGCTTACTTATATTTCCTGTGTTTTGATATACTGGCTTAGTATTGTCTATGTCACTTGCTTGGTTCACAAAAGATACAATTTACCATTTTGCATTAGCGATCAAACAATTGCATGGTTGGGTTTGCGCGAGTGCTGACGCAGTCACGACTGGTCGCTCGCATCAAACGAAAAGGCCTGAGGATGCTTGGTTGTGCATGGCATATGTTTTTTTGCCCTAATAATTTGCAACATGTATATTTTAGAGTTAGTCATAATATTCCCTTCATTGTTCTTTGTAACACATGGAGCAACAAATCTTTTAACTGAGGTCAAAGTTTTTCAAGTCTCCTCTGGCATGTGGAGCTTATTGATGGACAAACCATAATTATCACAAAAGTTTTTGTTCCTGCAACCAAAATCATTGGCCTTAAGACAAGAGTTTATTAAAAACTTCTACCACACGCTAAAGTGATCAGATCAGCATTATAAGGTAAAAGGAGCTTCATTTTTTGCCCAGTTTTCTAGAGTTTAACTGTTAATTTCCTATGACTGACTATTGATTCTGTTTAAGTTTGTCACAATTCTCTCTAGGTTTCTAACTTCAGGTGGCTGGGGGATTTTGAATAAATGGTTGAATGAGTATGCTAAGAGCGAAAATGTGCATTTGCTTCTTGAGATAATTGAGGTAATGAATTATTTTTGCCTGATGTGCCATGACATTTGAATATATTTATGATATTTCTGTTTAGTGACTGCTCCCTGTTAAACTATAAATTTAATGTATTTTAAAGGTCTAAACAAGTTTAAAAATTGACTATGTAAGGTCTCAATTTTCTTCCTCTAAGTTACCAGTACACATTGGGTAGGTTTGTGATAATAGTGATATAAGCCCTTTTGTTGCAATATTTTGACCAGGATTGGTGAAAATACGAATTCTGCTGTTCCACTTTTACTTATAACAACAGCAAAGGTAGTGCAAGCAAATATATTTCAATTTTATGGGGGAACATTTTTTATATATCTGGTAACATATATAAGTAAGCTGTATTACAGTATGTGCTTGTCTTTTAGGTTTTGAAATGCCTTCCTGTGACAATCAATACCCTGAAGCAAGTAAGTGTCTAGATGCCAATTAACTTTGATTTATCTTTTGTTAGAAACATACAGTTGGGAATTATGATGGATTTAGCTTTTTTTACGACAATTGATGAATTTGTTTCTTTTGAAGCAAAACATTGTCACCTATTGTTCTTAACCATTGGGGCACATATGCCCCCCCTCGGCCAATGTTATCTCTGCTTGATAATGCTGATCCTGTTCCCCATTTTGTGTCAGTTGTTCATAAAGATCGATTAGGTTTTATTATAAAAAGTGGCAAGCAACGATGGCCTAAAAACCGAAGGTGATTGTACTGCTGGGCGTTAGCTTTTGTTTTTCTCAGCCTTATTATATTCTGCAATTAAATTTATATTATAAAATGTTTTTAGCGGGCAGTGTGAAATGAATCTTTATTAGTGTCTATTCCTCTTTATTAGTGTAATATCTTTGTTTGATAGCCTTTTTATTGCTTGATGATCAAGTGTTAGGTGCAAAGTTACAACCTTGCGTTGGCTTAATCTATACGTCCAGGCATCAAAGTGACGTTGCTATGATGCACAACACTCTATGATTGACCAAAGCACACTAATTCATGGTTTTTGTAGGGTAACACTGGCAAAGTGGTGAAACAGTTGACAAAGTCCACAGATCCTGGTAAGTTTGAAAAGTGAATCTCTATTGAACTGTATTATAATCATCTTTGTCAAAAAACCAAGTTTGAAAATTGATGGCATGAATGAGAGTAGAATGTTACCGAAGTGGGGAAGCTTGAAAGCGTTTGCTTCATGCTTCAAGTAACCGTGCAAAGTCATTGTCAGGAGAACTCAATAAAGATGTTAAGAAATAACAAAAACTTAAATATATAACTTTTAATAAAAATAAAAGATTATATCAAAAAATGTTTTTGACAAAAAATCATATATGTAGAATACAGAACATGAGTCAAGTTTGACATGTTCTTGTAAATTTTATGGGGAGAAATATAGAGTTTTTTGATAAGGCTGGTTTTTTTTGTAGATCTGCGGAAAGGTGCAATGTATCTTATAAAAGAATGGAAAGGGATGATAAGAGGAGGAAACAATAACGGTAAAGGGAATTTTGCTTGTTTCAGTATATATGTTTTTTGAATATTTGTATTGGATCTTATTGAACAGCCAGCTATGAAAAGTCGCTATTTCTAAGCTTACGATGATACAGGGATATGTAAGACATAGTTCATAGATTTATGTTGGGCATTGTGATTTTTTGGCAAGGGAATTTCGGAAATCCGGGATGTATCTTATGTAAGAAGTGAGGGTGTGCGGCATTATGTATGGCTGTATGCATGGCACTTTTGTTTACTGTTGCTCCAACAGAAGGCTACAGCTTCATTTTCCAGAAGAATTTGCAATCAATTAATTTGTATCTGTTGTATTGTAAATCTTGTTATTATTACAGTTGTTTGTTTGACCTTACTTTATTGAACAAACAAACAAATTCGGTTCAACCGCAATGATTCAATAAGACATCATTGAATCAAGACAGGATGATTGGATATGACAGAACTCAGAGATATCGCCAGTTACAGCAAAAGTTCGTATCTGGGCACTTTTCTAAAGCAGCTCTACATATGACGATTTTGAGTTTCTTCCATAGCCTAGTTTCACAGCATCATTCTTAGAACGGCACCATTATGTAACTAGTTTTTAATATACGCTATTCAGTGTATTGAACAGGGTGGTTTTAAGTTGCTACACCGAGCTTCACACCTAATGCGATCATCTGGCAGTAATTTTCATTAGCTTTCAATAGATACCTAATTGTCTTTCTAGATAAAGGATCCAAAAGCAACTCTAAAGATGCAGAAAAAACAGGTTTATTTATATTATGTATATATGCATATCATAGTTCATTTTGATCTAATAATGAATCCTTGTATTGTGTGAAATCTTCAATTATATAACGTACAGTTTTCATAATCTTTGCAGCATTAATTATTATCTCTCATTTCACTGTTTATATTTTGTTTTAGGAGATGAGTGCCCTGTTGGAACTATTAAAAGACAGAGGTTTGCTTGCCCCTTCTTATCTATTCTATTTTTGCAGTCATTTTCAGTTAAAAGGTATTTTAGTATCATCATGTGAATATATTTGTTATTGGCTAGAGTATTTTCTGTATTAACTGGATCTCACCGCAAATTTTCCCTTCATGATACTTATAACAAGCAACACTCTCCCACACCAATCTGGGGTAGAACGGCGTTTCCATATTGCCATGCACCAGAAATATATACACCAGAAATGAGAAAGGTTTTTTATTTTGAACAGAGAGGCTATGCTCGTTCCTTCTAGCCAGTTATTTAGATTTTCATTGTGTGCGGTTACTTACTAATGCTGTACAACGAGTCTCCCAATCCTCGACTTTAATCTGTCGTTAAACAATCCTTCATCTTGGACATGCTAGCAGTGCTTATCGTAATCATAAAGGGGTTTGTTCCCAATTCGTTTCTAGAGAGGAGGGCCTTACTCGAAGCTTTTTAGGGGTGGGCTTATTTGGCATGGAGAATTTAATCTATAAACAACATTTGTGACCCAGGCTGGTTGGAAAAGATCTGAACTGGAAAAATATCTCTCAAATTAGATTATATGAACTTTTGTGTATATAAGTACTCTAATACAATAAGCATTAAAAAGAAGTTGTGAATTGGCTTCTTTTTCACAATCTGGCAACATAATAGAGGATGGTGTGAGAGGGGGTTTATCAAAGAAGTGGGGAGGGGAAGGAGTTGATCATCTTGTTGAAGTATTTAGAGCTAAGTTTAGGAGATCATCTCCAACATCTTTTGCACTGGTGTCCGAGACAGAAAGTACTGGATTAAGATTTATTGTTCCTTTCCAAAAAGAATTAATTTTTTTCAATTTAACCATATTTTTATACCTAGACAAGGAAGTACGGAGGAGAAAATCCAACCGCCACCAGAGAAAAAGCCGAAGCAGACAGATGAAAAACAGCGGAAGAACTCCTTGGATTCAAAGCGTAAGTTACTTCATTGTTTTTTTCATCTAATCACCGAATATTTTAAAGATTTCATTTCCTCATAAGAATTTAAACAGCACTTTTGTGTAGATTTTTTTTTCGAAAGAGTTCTGATTAAAAATTCTAGCATATTGGCACCTTAAACAGACATAGGTTATAAATATTATGTCACTTTTAGCCAACCATGTGATTTCACATTTATAACAGCTTATTTGAGTCTAACGTCTATCCTGCAGGAATATTTTATTTATGTAATTAAACTTAAAGAAAAATCATTAAAATATAACAATCAAACTACAAGACGTACAAAAGCCTCTTATAAATCTATTGTTACACCGTAACTACTTTCCACTACTACACAGATATCTAAAGTACCTACCAACCCTAATTTCTTATATACCGGGTATAAATTTTATCATTTGAAAATTCTGTGAATATGAAATAAGTCTCAATGTTTTGTTAAGAGGCATCCCGGAAATTGAATTTAGTATGGGCCTCCATTCAATTTTGCTTAAAAGACAAATCACGTTGTCTCCTTTAAAAATTTGCACTTAAGGAAACAGAATTAGTGTGTCATTTTAAATTTGAATGTAGCACTTGAATTTTGTATATAACTGATACACGTTGTATGTAACTGAATAGAAGCATTTGATGTAGTAGAAATCCTTTTTTTACATTAGATTTGTCGTGTTCATTTCAAAGCTTGTGTTAGTCGCGTATTTCATCGTTTAAATGCTGTGAAGTCAAAGCTGTCTTATGGCCTAATTTTATCTCGATTCTAGCAGCTGTGGCTATGGAAAGCTTTGGCCTTATGAATGCCATGGTGGCTGTGGCATCTAAACCAATCAAAAAGAAGAAAAAGCCCCTTACGTCAAAGGTACGCATGCAATGTATCTTTGTCCAGGGCTTCAACGGAGAAAGCACAGATCTAGCTACTTGTCTAATTGCTATGAGATTTACATTTGCTTATCATCCCGAAAGACTTTAAACTATATCATATCATACTGGTTTACGGTGGACTTGTGTTGCTGCTGAACCAAATGCTGTGTTTGCGTCTATAGTCAAAAGCTTTTTTCATCCGTTCTGATAACACAAGTTGGGAAGGGAATTGAAAACTTATCGTTACATGAACTGCTTTAGGAAGTTTCTGTTTTCTTTGTTAACTGGTTAGCTCTACCGTTTGTAGCTATTTTCATAAGCCCATTCTTTCTTTATAGACTACATTGCCACTGGATGAAATACTGAATAATAAAAGCGTGAATGGAGACAAGTATGTTTTTACTATTGAGTTATTACTCGTTGTAATCTAATAGCCATTAGCAAATATATCTTTATGCCTTGGTAAACGTCTTTGCTAAAAACTGATGAAAAGCCAGCTATTGATGTGTAAATGGAATAGCTAGTCCGTGAACTCTTGATGTATAAACGTATGTGAATAGTTCCCTGTGTTTCATTTCTGAAAGTGACCTATCATCTGAGTCTTCGGTTATCTATGATTTGCAGCAGTTTTTAAGCGTCGTTGTTAACTGGCTCCGAATGAAAATGGGATCTTTGTGATATTTATTTTATCTGCAAGTTACGAGCCATAAGGTTTTAAATAAGCAGCAATAATTCGAGAAATGCGTTTGCCTACAGATATGTAATTTTTCGGACGCATTTCGCACTTTAGTCTTGTAGTAGATTCATTATGCAGCTAGTATTTTATTTCATATCAATATTTCCACCCAACCTCTCAAATAATTTTTTTCGTAGCCATAGCCACTCCACCTTCCACGCCCCAATTGTTGACTTGATTTTGTTAATGCTTAGGCTAGAAATTACAAGAAGGCAATAAATGAATGTTTGTAATCTTCGATTTTTATTTCAAGGAATTCTGATAAACCGTACGCATCGCCATTGAGAGGAGATCAGGAGAGAGGTAGGACACTAAACAAGCTTGATTTTGAAACCCGAAGCCAATTAAATCTAATTTTTATTCGTGCTGAGCTCATCCTATATATGATAAGCATGTAAATGTAAATTATCGTCTCAATTATGCAGAAGTTCATATACTAGGTTGTTTTTTATTGCCATGTCTTTTGTCACAATATCATTTCAATAAAGCCCAGAAAGTTTTAAGGTTTTCTAGTAGCCAAGTAAGAATTTATCGGCCTCAGGGTTTGCTTTGGGTGGCTTTTTACTAGTGAATTTTCTCTTGCAGAGAAAGGTGAAAACAAGACTGAAGAAGACACTGTAAGTTTTATATTGTTTAATAGTTTTGTATTCTATATTATCATCGAAGCTAGTGGCCTGTGTACACTGTAGCCATTCTGCTGCACTCTTTTTTACAAAGTGTTTGAAAACTTTATGTTTAAATGAATCTTAAGTAGAAACCTAACTTTAGTAATCAAATGTTTAGCTTTGTATCTAAATCCGTTACATGTTTTATTCAAAGGTTGATCAAACAGCTAAAAATGAAGACGAGGATAGCCAAGGTATTGATTTTAAATACACTTTCTCAGACTCACTCACTTACTTTCAATTCGTAATGCCTTAACTAAGTTGAACAGTATCTTTGAAGCTTCGTGTACTCTGGTGCTGATACCCTTGTAATTTTGCCTTGACTGAATATTCAGTGTGTAAGTTGAAAGTCGCAGGTGTCAAGCTTGGTTTTAAAACTTTAATATGAAATATATTTGAACATAGGCAAAGATTTCTTTGTAAATAATAGTATTTGTCCCAGGATAGCGGTCTATCTTCTATTCTTTGAATAGTTTGATAATTGTTGTTAGAATAATCCAATAAATTGTTTGCTTTCAATTAGACAACGAAAAGGGAGAACAGGATAAAGATCGCTCCGGGCCGCCGTCCAAAAAGGCTAAGAAGACAAAGAGGTCGATCACATGGGCAAATGAAGAAAACCTTATCAAAGTTTGTTACTTTGAACTGGACGAGGAAGAACTAGGTGAATGTCGCATTAGCTATTTGAAACGTTAGAAATCCACCTTGACATTTTGTTTTTTCCTGCGAGTTATTTTTGTTTCTTTTCATTAGAGTCTAACTTTCTTTGTTTGCTAGAAGCTGCGATTAAATCAAACAAAATTTTTATAAATAGATCAAAAGCACATAGACTCTTACTTCAAGGTTAACGATTCGATTGCCATAAGAATTGGGGTTTGAATTTGATTCTTAGTAGGTTTTAAGACGTTTTGTTGGGATGTAGGAAATTTTAGCTTTCGTTCCCTAAACTATTTAAGTCTTTCATTTGATATGTCCATTACTGATAGGATTTGAATGGTTTGTCTTGACAAACTGAATCTTTTTGTGATTTTGTTATAATTTTTTACATATTTAACAATATTCTTGTTCGGGTATATGTTCCGTTTTCGTCTCTTGTGCCTTTAAAGCTGTGTCATATATTTTTATACAAAGCTAGTTGCAAAGTGTTTTTGTATTTTCAATGTGCTTTACCATTTTAAACCCTTAATTCTGATTTATAAACTCTCATTGATAGCCAATAGCCTTCTTTGGTACTTTTTTCATTTATTTTTTAATTTCTTCAGCGTCAATGCACCATACAATGAACTTTTCGATGGCAAAACACAACGAACTCGTTCGTGAGAGAGAGGTTAGTTGATAACGGTGCTTTGAAATATTACTGAATTCTGCGGTATACAACGTTTTTTTCGCTCCAACCTAACCTGATGTAGTGATGGTCTTTTGATAAAAACAGTACATTAGTTTCTTACCAGCTCCTCCCGTCACTTGTTCACTTTCTGGCACTTATCAGCCGAGTGTTTTTTCTGTGTTTGCAATTTTCTGGCTTTCCCATTATTTTGAGGTTCATCCGGCGTCTGTTTAAATTTTTCGGTTTCATGTTTTAATGTCCGTATCATGGCCAAATCTGATTTCACAAAACAGCTTAAGTTTCTGATAACGCAGAAGAAATTTTTAAGTAAGAGTATTACACTTTATTATATTTGTTATTACATTTTACTGTATTACAAAGTTTTACATTTGTTAAATTGCTGCTTACGTTTTTAATTTTTTTGTGCAAAATTTAGGCCTTGGAAAACGCTCGAAGACTCGGTGAAGACAGAATGGTTGAAAAAGCGATGGTAAGAAAAGCAATACTGATTGTCATTCGTACATGCAATTTTGAGTTGAGCTGTCAAAAACACGAGTCAAATCTTATAAAGTTTAAGAAATGAGTATTGAGCATAGAAAATTTTCAATTTGGCATAATCCTCAGACGTTTATAAGATTTTTGATAATTCTTTTGTTTTGTTTATCAGGCCTGTTATTTGTTTTTGGTTCACCATTTCGTAGTTTATTTTGTCTGTTGAGTGAGTCAGTAGAAAAAGCACCCTTAGTTTTTTTGAAAAAAAGTAAATTGACAGTTAATGACACGTTAGGATGGCTGTTATATTGTTAATATTTTGACAAAGTGAGGATGCAGAGACAAGTATATGAAAAAGATACCAAACCCAATGTAATGACATAAAATAAAGCAATGCACAACAATCGTGTTTAGCCGACAATTTCACTGCTTGCCAATCTATAGTTTGAAGTTTATATCAAATGTTTTATTAACTATCCTTAAATATGTCCCATGTTTTCATTCTATGTAAATATAATATTTATCAATTTTACAGTGGAAGAAGCCTTGTTTAGTTGAAATGAGTCCTTTGTCTGTCGAAGCTGGTGAAAAAAGTCGTGAAAAATACATTCAGGTAATACTGTATCTCCCTTCCTTGTTTTCCTTTTGCTCAAGTAGAACATTTATCTCTTGATTACTTGACAAATTGTTTCTCTTTTTTTTCTACATTTTTTTGCTTCAGCTCCTTTTCTTTAAGCCAATAAAATTAGCCAAATAAAAGACGATCTGCATTTATGAGAATTTAATGATTACCTAAATAGTAACTATGAATAAATGTATAATAAATAAACTTTGTTTTATTTCTATTTCCTCGACTGGAAATTTTCACAAAAAGACGTTTTTCGCTCAACCATATCTCTTAAGAATACAACCTTATCTTTGTCTAAAAATAACTTTCTTTTCTTTTGGTATCTTCCCTGCAGAAAGAAAGAGAGCAAAAGGTTCTTGCTGATATATTTTTAACAAAAGCAAGGTTGGTTGTCATGTTTATTATTCTGGTTGATGGTACCACTAATGCATTGATGACTTGTTTGCCTAATTGCAATCTAATAAGTTAACACCAACCCTACTTGCCATCGAAGGTGATATCTCTGTCTTAGAAGTTGCTGGGATGTAATATCACACAAAAGTACGTTTGATGTCAACTATTGTCGGTGACTTGTGTTTTCTTACAAGGTTATATTGCAGGAGAGAAATTGTTAAACTCATCAATTTTTGACATGATTAATAACATTTTAGCCTGCCAGATAGTCCGGCTGAACCTGACAGCGAAACGGAGGAGCATGGTCCTTCTGAGCCGAAATTGATTCCTCACGACGAGGTAAGTGAGAGCTATAAAAGATTTGCTTGTTTACTTACAGCATGAAAAACCCTTAATTAATAACAAGCAAAAACATCTTTCGTACCAGAAAGTTTAAAGTCAAAATTTGAAGTTTGATAGATACAAAATATATTGCTTTTGCTGTAGAATTAAAGTAGGTACCTTCAGGAAACAAATTGAAATTGGCCTAGTTCTTGCAAATCATTCAAATTTCAAAATTAAATACCCCAGCAACCACACTGAAATTTAAGCTCCTATTGTGGTATGGAATGGCCTTGATGTAAAACAGTGAGAAATGTCTTGATACATTCAAACAGCCTTGATACATTCAAAGAGCATTCAAGCATTGATTACTATACCCGTCCATAAGAGACGAAGCAGCGCTCAAATGTATTCAGCGGCTTTAGTCTGCAAAACCATTGATTCTAGGCTGTTTAAGTTGAGTTTAAAACTGTAATGTCATAGGACACCGGAAGTAATAGCTCTTACTAATCAAACCCTAATTTTAGTGCATATTATCTTTTCCTGTTAAAGTAAGTCATTGAGTCAGTGAGTGACAAATTCTTTTTAGGAAGGAACTCTCTATCCGAAGCCCTCTGTTCCAGTGCAGCAGGCAGCGTCGACATCACTTCAGACAAATAGCACACAATCTAAAAGTGATGCAACCGCAAAAGCAAATGATAAGCCAGGTGTGCATGACAATTGATTGAATTTCTGCAACCACTCTTGTAAACTCTTAAATAATTTTCTCTGATGGATTGTAATTTCCTGACTTTCAAAAGTAGACCCTTTTGACTATGTAAAATGCTGTCGTCTTGTGAATTGAACGTCATAATCGTCTTTATAGGCTAGATTTTGAGTGTTGTGTGAAATGAAATGTAGAGCTTGAAGGCTCATGCGCAACCGGCATGCTTAGCGACAGTTGTCTTGAGAAATGGACTTTTTTGCATTTCCATGCAGTACGATATTAGGCCGGCCTTTTGAAAAGCGTGTCGGTTGCGCAAGAGCCTTTAAGGAGGAGATTTTCATTTTCTGTTAGACCCTTTGCACATGCTCTTGACATTTTATCAATGGTACTTGCATGAAGTAATAAGTCGCATCATTACAGGTCAAGGCAACAGCCTGCTAGGCGACCCCACTGCAGAGATGCTTGCTAAAGTTAAAGATCCAGGTATCAATTCTATGGTTTTTTATTTCAATGTTCACCTGTAGCTAGATCGGTACGTCTGAAGGAGTTTATTATCAAGTATTTAGACTCAAAAGAGGTTATTTCAGTTGCCAACCACAACTCACCTTTCTGATGTTAATATTTCTTAATATTTCGTAACTTCCCGGCAGGGGCACGTGTTAAGGGGTTTGCCTCAACGCTCAACGGCTCTGTCCAATATTGTAGGCGGCAATGAGACTAGACTATGTCTCGGCTAACCCACTGCCACAGTGCCACTGCGTATTTGTTTCCTAAGAAGATTATTACGCCCACTGCAAATACAGAAAGAGAAAGGAGGTGGATTGTACATCGAACATTCTATGTAATTTTCTCCGACGAATGCGACGCAGCTCACAGATAATGTGAAACGAATATTTATAATAGACTAGAACAACCCATATACACCATTTAGGGTAGACTCATCCATTAGTATTTATTTTGAATTTTTGAGAATAGACTTATGTACGTTGATCGTAAGTGGCTACGGTGCCTAAGCATTTGTTGGTGAGATATATTCTGTTTGGTGAATAGTTATCCAAGAAAAAGGAGCACTTCAAAACCCATCCACACAATTTGACTTTGCTGTAGCCAACAGTTTTGCCTCTTTTGCAAAGCACAGCGTCTGTAGAACGTCGATGTCTATGGCACTGTTATGTCTCCAGATTTTTTTGTCATGTGTTTTGATTCCCATCTAGTTGACTATAGAGTGGGCGTCCAAAGCTTTGCTGGCTCTCTTTTTTAGGTGTCGTTCTTTGCCTTCAGTCCCCTTTTAGCAGCCAAACCATACTTATTTGACATTTTATAATCTGTATAAGAAAATCTCTTTAAGTTATGCCAACAGTTTTTCGACAGATTTTAAGCTACGAGATAAGATACACACGATCCTCAAGGCAACAGAAAAATCAATAAATTTTCATCTTTGGGAGAAATTCCTTGTTTTTGAATTCGAGGACTTTCTGGGACCCTGTGACCTTTGCTTGGCTTTGGGCCCCAATCTATGCTTGGCTTTGGGCCCAAACCTATGCTTGACCTGGAACCCTTTTTATGCTCGGCCTGGTGGCCCGTTTTATGTTGGGCCTTGGGCCCCAGTCTGTGCTTGACCTGTGGGCCCTTTCTATGCTCCGTCATCTATTGCGGCCCATAGTCTACTGGTGAACAATAATTCCAACGTAGTTTTGAAAATGCTTTGCAAAAACCGTTTGCTAGACGTTGTCCAATCTTTTTTTAGATGTATCGCCCTCCGTACACAACATTATGAAACATATAATGGTAAGTAAGTAATGAAATATTTACCGGAATTTAATTACTTGATGTAATTAATTTTTACCTCAGTCGCCATGGTGCAGCTGAAGGGAGTCCATTTTTCAGTTGGCGCGAACAGTACTGTTTTTCCCACGCCTTTCACAGCAAAACATGTATTTCTTTCCCCGAATAGATGGCCCAAAATTTTTCCGCACAAGCACGAATCGACTGCACTTAAACATCTCCGTAAAAACGACAAATTTCTGCCAAAATTATCAGTATTTGAATTTGATGGCACGGATACTTGAATACTGGAAAAAAACACATAAGGAAAAAGAGGTAGACATAAAGCACCGTTTTTTGAAGTAAATTTCCATCTCATTTAAGTAAATCACCCTGTCCTTTAAGCAAAGCACACTACCTTAATGGCGGATCATTAAGCCGTGTAGAACATGATTTTTCATCAAGCTTTTTGGTGATTTTAGGTGCCTAAACCCGGGTCACCACAGGACTTCCCGCGTCTTGGTGGACCAGAATTCATGGGGCGTGGAGCGAGACCTATGGGTATGTAATTTTATCACCATTTGACGAAGTAGCCAGTCTAAGTTGTTGTAGTTTTCCTGTCTCTATTTCTTTTTATCTATCATAGACCTTAGTAGGGTTCTCCGGTTATAGTCTCATAGTACATATTTTTTTTAAAAAAATATTGGTTTCGGAGTTTTGTTTGGCTTTGATTTGGCGTTCAATTTTTGCGCCTTGCCATTGTTTATGGCTTTGTTTATTCACGTTATTATTCGTTGGCAGCAATATATTCCTAAAATCAAGATACCTTTCAGTAAATTTGTGCGTTTATAAATTCAAGTTTTAACTGAATTCAATCCACCTACATTTACCCTCGATCGAAAGGTCTGCAATTTTGTATGATTATGGCAAAACTATATTACGAGCAACAGAACTACACCAAGCGTGTTTTTCCTAAGTGCAAAAAGTACATTTTGCACTACCTTTAACAAGATAAAATAAGGTCCATCTTTCCTTTAGCAGACCTCTCCGCTTTTCTAAAACTCTCAATCAAAGTTATTTTTTGGTACAGATATCGACCAGTTTATGTTGAATTTAAAAACTAGCGAGCTTTGGCGAGATTGAAAAAAGGTAGCGACTGAAGATAAACTTATTTCAAAACTACCGTTAAAACTTGTAACTTTTTATCTAAAAAATAAGTCATCAGCCTTTGTATTGAACTTTAGGCCCTGATGTGCCTGGCCCAGGCTTTCCGCCAGGAGTACCGCGTTTCCCTATTCGCGGGGGAGTCCCTAGACCTCCGATGAACGTATTTCAAGGAAGACCAAGAGGAAATTTCAGGGGCAGGCCAATGATGCATCGCGGTGGACCCCTCAGACCGCGTTTTCATGGCCCTCCGATGGTTGGAATGCATGGCGAGGTACGTATTGGATTCGAGAGTGTATGTAATCAGGTGCATTTATGCTAGAAGGGAGATGCTAATTAGATAGCGAAAAGTTCTGCTTAATCTCCTTTTAGGTGAAAAATTGATTAAGCTTTGCTTTCATCGTTTGTTTTTAGCTGTAATCTTACACGGAATCCAGTTTTTTATACATTATATGGGTTTGCATGCTGTTTTGTGTATCTAATTGATTATTAAATGTTACCAGACCTATTTTTTGCATTCAAGGCAGTTAGTATTATCGTTCTGTTTTCATTATAATTCTCCTGACTATGAAAATTAAAGTTCTTCAGTCGCACGCAGTTATCAGCTGTACAGCTAATGCCAATGCAAATTATTTTTTCTTCTTTTAGGATCACTTTGATATGGGCAATGAAGAGGAACATTTTAGAGGAAGGGGGCGAGGAAGGGGTGGTCCCCACATGCGAGGCCGAGGGAGTAAGCTGCATTTTTTCATTTCATAAAGCTCACATGAACCCTTCGTCATATTTTCACTTTAAGCGTTTTCAAACCTCTTTATATATGGGTTGTTCAGTCAAAAGCACCTCTCTACTTATAGTTAGGCCTTTAATAGGACTTGTGTTTTACAGTTGCCAACCAGATAAATAACGTATAACCTGAAGCGGAAAAATGGTATATAATTAAGTGATCAGTTTTATGGCTGGTTGATGAATTTTGCTGGTTGATCTGTTGTTATTTGCCCATGTTTTCTGTTCCCATTAAATGCTGCTAGAACAAATGACTTCTCAGTTTTTAGTAGTATTTTAAAAAAGTATTTTGCAGAAGGTCACGAATTCTCTTTGAGGTGTTTATAAAACAACTGCATGATAAAAAATAGTCCTGGCTGTAGAAATGCTTTTACAGTTTTTAAAAACTCATTGCAACCAATTTAAGAAAGCCTTTTCACAGACAACTTCATATGCCAACTGGATCGAAACGAAAACTACAGATTAGTGTAACTGGGAGAAGACAAACAGTTATTGTCTATAAACTCCTTGATGATAGTTGAACTTACGTATAGAGTCTGTCCTTTTTAAAGTTATTCAACGTTGCTAATTAAAATAACCGTTAGTCGCTGTTTCACTGAAATACTCCCTTTCATAGACGGCCTAATTTTCATCTTGATGAAATTAATCAATCGTTTTATCCAAGCCTTTCTATTAACGGTTATAATTTAATTAAAATTCAGCTGCTTCTTTTCATTTTGGTTCGTTTTTAAGTTAAAGTAAATTTTCAGTACTTACCAACAATCTATGTTTTGGCTTTTGAATATGTTAGCTGTTGATCATAGTTTCATGGCATGTTTGGGTGTGTCCTCGTTTTGAATTGCTCCGGTTGCAATTGCTACTTTTTTCTGTAACTGATAACTGAACACATTACGTACAAGTTTTGTCTTCAATGTGTTTCTGGATAAAACCTTCTTCAAAAAAAGTTTATTGAGAATTAGAGCCCTGGTTTAGCCAGCCTTAAAAGGAACAAGAAAGTTGTTTGTCTTACCTTTAGTAAGTTCATTAAACTTAATAAACTTATTAAATAGACTGACTGTTAATTTCGTTACACGGAAAATTTCATTTAACAAAGGATTCATTCAATCAAAGTTCAACTTTACTTTTAAACCGATCTTTTTTATGTTTTCTTTAAAAAGCAAATTATCAAACTTATATTTCGTTGCAGAGCCTCCTTTGTGCCGTCATTTCATGACACCCACAGGCTGCAGGAACGGACAGGCTTGTAAATTCGTGCACCCCATGATGAATGGTCCTCCGCCGAGATAAAAGTGCCAATTGAGATTGAGATTGGTTAATTTATGATCGAATACTTAAGAAGATAAGCAAAATCGCGTACAACGTAATTTTCTATATGGAGCCCTCAGCCAAAGGAACCACAACTCTGTTGGTTGCAATGTAGCTAATGAACCTGTGTGTATTACAAGATCGTTTTTGTGTATTAATGTATAGATTTAATAGTATTGAAAATTTGAAAGCTAGTTGAGTTATATTGCAGTAGAATCTACATTTTGCCAGTCCCTAAATGATTTGATTGCTTGAGTACGCATAATCTTTCCATTAGACTTCGCTTTGGTTTCAGTTTGTTTTATTGATCCAAGCTGCTATCACTAAGACTCATTGCTAACAATGAGCCATTGCGCTACGCAAGCATCCCATAATGCATTTTTAGATAGTCTCAAATAAATTTTGGTTAATCCGTAGAAGTTTACTGCTATTGTTTGGACCGTCACCACGCTCGCAAAGGCTCATTGTTAGCAGTTTATGCGGAAAAAACACAGGGTACTTTGATCAAGATATTATTGCAGACCTGTAATAATTTTTGAAATAATAGACCTCATCTTGATCATGCAGAGTAAAGCGATCACCAACAGACTTTTAAAGCAAATGGAAGGATGTTTCTTGTTAACTTACTGACACTTTTTTAAGAAGTCGACAATCTTCATAGAAGGGTACTTCATAATGTGTATTTACTTCTTTAGAATAACTTGTCTTCCCTTAAATTCATTTGATAAAAAAGTCTTTGCTCTAGCTGACAGGATGTTTGTAGCAGAATTTTCATATGTAAAGAATAAAATCATCGTTCTTCAGTTATCGTAGATAAACCTCTTTGTTAGTTATTTAAATCTTTCAACTGAAAATAGTCGACTGCAAGCAATGTATAATTAGTAAGTCAATTTATAATTATTAAGATAATTAGTAAGTCATAACCATGTCATACTTTTAGATAAATTATGAGAATCTGGAACTTAAAATCGTAAGTTCGTTTCATTGATTTTTTTATTGAAAAATGAAAAGTTGCCAATACGTTGAAATACTGAATTTATATTCTTTATCTGGCTTTATTTTCATATTAGGCAGGGAAAGGTAACTATTTCTACCAACACAAGCTCGTTTTACTGCATGGAGCAGCGCCTGGTAAAGTCGAAGCTCTCAAATAGCATCTTTGTTTTTTAAAGCAGAGGTTATGATATTCGGACTTTTGAAGGACTTGAAAATATCAAAACGGAAACGACTGAATGATGAGATGAAAAATTATGATGGGTCAAGGCTTTTACGAATTTGAAAAATCAATTACTGTCAAAATGTCAAGTACTTGATCATATTCTCATGTTTCAGAAGGGGCCTCCCGAAAAATTATAACCGAAGGAGATTGTTTTGATTGAATAAGGAATGGTATTCCAGGATTTGGCACCTAATATCTAATATATCCTATTTAGAAAAATTCGTCTTTTAATCTTAATTTTGGATCCCTGAAGGAGAATGGGCTCTAGTATAAAACTTTGGCGGTAAAACTGTTGTTCCCAGTTTCCTCAATCGACGATTTGAAGTGCTTCCAGCCACGTGTGTAACCACGAAATGTTCCAAATTGTCACCAAGCAAGTTGTGAAATTCACCGAAAATCGCAGAAAAAAAAGAATTTTCTTCCTATCAAAGTAAACGATTCACAGGTATGTTGTGTATCATTGTATCTTAGACCGTGCAATTGATTTTCTGTTGTATTTGTACGTGACCTCGTGAGAGAAAGTTGCCTAGCTAACTTGAGAATGTTTCTTTCTGTCAAACTTAAACGTGCAAATAAAGCAAGGTTTTTGCCCAAATTTTCCTTTTTGGAGAATCGTTAAAAGCCAGTGTCTATGAAATGCAAAATTAGCTAGTTTATAAAAGTCGCGTTTAAGAAATGTCACTGAGGCCAAAGGGTGATACTTTGAAATGTCAACGTTGGTCAGAGATAATATAAACTTCATGTAAAACATAAATATCTAGTAAAGAAAGTGAAACTTGAAACAAAGCGATGTATTTTAAAGCGAAGTTAAAGTCCCTTTCTTAATAATTCCAGTCGTAACTATTCAGTCGCAGTAATCCATGCAAAGCAATATGTTTTGGTAGTTAGATTTTAGGCCCAAAAGCGGTTCATCCTCTTTTTTAAAAACATTTATCAGTTTCAACATGTTTGAATTTTCAAGTGGCTAGATAGCGGTTAAATAACTGCCAAATACGTTATTTTATTACTTGATAATCAAATCTAAAATACAATCAATAAAAAACGAATAAATTTATACACAAATTGAAGTCGAAAAGATTCCCAAAGGCTCAAGCCAAGTGAAGCTTGTCGCGGATGTACCCAGTGGTGCCACTCTTTCAAGCAAAAGAAAAAGTCACTCCAAACATAAAACGTTGTTAACCAGAAAATTATTTTTGTTCAACAGAAACACTTGCAGTGGCCAGGCTAAAAGGATATCTTATTCCCGGAAAAAAACTAAAATATAGAAATGTTGTTAGATCGTTTTGCTGTTCATCAAGCTATTTTGCTGTTCATCAAGCTATTTTGCTGTTTTATCCATAATTTGTTCCTTCTCGTCTGACCTGTAAGATATGTGCTACTAACTTTCTGTAGCTCCTCCCTGGTTTTTTAAAAAGCCAGTAGGAAAGGAAGGAAATTGACTGAAATTAAAATAAGCAGAAGGGTTATTCATGATCTTGATGGCAATTGGCTTCAAACTCAAGACAAGCAGACTTGCCATATCTTGGCCACAGGTCTTGTAGATGGGCGGATCATAATATATATAAAATCATTGCACAGGAATCGGGTAGTGAACTCCATTTTCTTCAGATTAGTATTCTAGAAAAGTATTTAGCTCCTTTTATGTAGATTTGTCCGCCGCAAGCGTGTAACTTCCCGCACGTGTACAAACATGTTGTGATGGTTATGGCTAGAATTTTCCACTCTTCTTTCATATCGAGGAACATGCCAAGTTTTCTCACTTCTTTCAATTCTGGTGATGGTTGCTCACCATAATGAGGGTGGTTTCGACATTTTTTGCCCTTTCTGACAGTCTCGTTCTTATTTTTTAGAATGAGTTTCATTTAAATTTTGCAGAGATGAATATCTGAATTCTCGTTTCTGAATCATGAAATATAGTATCTGAATTATACTGACTCTCGTTTCAAATGGTTTTGTAACTGGAAAGCATGCCTTACCATTTATGCAAAGCTCGGGCTAAAACGCGATTTGGTATTATTACATATAGAAACACCCCTTTGTCCATAATGTTCACGGTTATTTAGTACTTTTTGTTCTGGCAGTTATAAATGCTGTCTTTTGTTTTAGAACAATAGGTCCCTGAGCCTTTGGTAGCAGCCTAGTTTCTAAACCCATTTAGATTTCCAGATCTTCAAGATCAGGTGAAAAGTTATGCTCGTAACGTCGTGCCAAATATTCATTTCTTGTACAAAGTCGTTATTTTATTTTATCGAATTCTGTTCATTTACGTACAACACGTACAACTTCATTGATTATCAATCTAGGCTACTAGGCTCTGACATCGGTTTCGGAGATTATGCAAGTAAGCTTGAAGCCGCTTGATAGGCATGCTGCGTGACAATAGTGAAAGATCAGTCTTGATCTTGCTACGACACCTAATGACACGAAATGTGATCCTTATTCTATTCATTCTTGATATAAATCCATTTGCTCAACAGATTTGATTATAGAAGCGATAGAATAATATGTTTTTGAGAAGATCGATTCAGCCAGGGGTATTGTTTCTGCTGCTAAAAGACCTTTTCAACAGTAAAGCTCTCGCTAGTACGGACCCAAAACCACGATGGATTACTTATTTTATCACGGCTAACTCCGATTAAGCTCCCTTTTGTCCTTAATCAATCTATCCAGTTTCACTATCCGTTTGCTAATGAAGGAGGCTTTTAGAACTTAGACACGAGGGCGTGGTCTAGATTCAAGGATATTGTGAAAGACATGGATTTAAGAGATAAATCTAAATAAGTTCATGTGGAACTCTCCAAAGAGAGCTATAATGCAACGAGAGAAAGAGATGTGTATTAATGTTTCAACAAAGCTTGCAAGATATTTGAATTCAATTTCAACATGAAAATAGTTTTATAGGCCTTACTTTACTTGATTATTCTCAAAGCTTTTTAATTGAAATCATTATTGACAATAAAATTAGATGTATTCACAGCGATTATATCTTCCTTTTTAATTGCAAAAGCAATTAAACTATTGTCGATCAATTAAAATGCATTTGCAATTGAACCCATACCTCAAACTATATTTTATGACAAGATTAATAGATTCTCCATATTCTGTCTCGAACACTTGTTCATTTTTTCCCTTGTTTGTTGATTTACCAATCGTTTCAGTGTTTTCCTTCGATGACACCATATATTCTGTTATTCTTCAATTATGAAAGAAATAAAAAAATAGAATGAAAAATACTTTGAGATACAGAGCAACCTTGCACCTGCCACTCTCAAATGTTTTAAGAAACAAGTTCGATGTTGAGTTCTCCAGTTTATAAACCATGCCGTAATTTTCACCACTCATTTTTGCTTGAGAGTTGATTTGTTTTAGCTTGATCAATTTTAATATTTTGGATCTTAGGTGTAGTTTTTCGTGTTGGGAAAATATTATAATTCATATATCTCAATTTATATTTTGCGATTTATTCCATTACGGAAAACATGATATTTTTCATGTTGGCCGGAAGAAATTGCAAATTGTTTGCTGAAATAGTTTGATTCGTGAAGTTTCTTAATTTTTTTCGAGAAAAGCAGTACTCCTTTCTTGTAGAAATTTTCTTCTATAAAATTGAGTGTATTTGAAATGATTTTGTCACTATACCTGTCGAAAGATTTCGAAAGCCCCTGCAGCTTAAAGGTTCCTTTGCAATAAATTACCAGTTTCCAAGAGTTTAGAAAACACTACCATCATGTTTCATTTTCCTGAACCAATATAAATCATGAAAACAACAATTTTGGAGCGGGAAAGGAGGATACGCTTGACAATGTACATAACTTTATTTTAGTATACCAAGGACCTTGGTAGAGGCACTTATCTCAATTGAATCACTGTAATCTTAGCTTTTGAGAACTACTACTAAACTGTCTCTATAAAATGTGATAAAAAGCCTCTCTTTAAATTGGTGTTTAAGGAAAATCTTGAATGGACTATCTTCTGGCAGAAAGAGAAATACAGACTAGAGCTTAGGTATCTTCGTAACATACTACCAATTAATTGTTTAGGTACTCATTTCATGTTCTGGTTCAGATTTTTTCCCAGACAACTGCGCAACATTCAATATTTAATGCAAAGATAAGTTTTGGATTTTGGTAAAACAAATAGAAATTTCATAAAGAGACATTTGAAAGGAGAAACGGACCATCATTGCTATCAGAAAGATGACTCATTGCCCCATTCCTCATTTTTTGGCTTGTTATAATAGGATTCATTTTAGATAACTACCACATGAATTCTAGTCTTCAAATATGTGAGTCATCACCGTCAATGAAAGGAAAGATCATATACGTTGACTCGAATTTACAATTGCGGATACTCTTGCCTTTAGGGACGGGGAATTTGCTTTCATTTAGACTTTAAGGTAGAGAGCAGAGAAAACGACTATTATTCGATGATTTGAATTGATATAGCAACCTACTGTTTAACGAAATCTGCAACTTCATCGAATAAATACTTCTCTACATACGTAACCAAATCCTCCATACAGGGTCCCAAATAAAATGAGAGTCAATAAGCACATCAGATTTCTACAGATGTCAAGGACACAGAGATGCTAGTTAGCACGATCATGGCTAATTTACTGCTTTTGATAATTGAGCGTAAACGAGAGTAGCAATAAAGAAATTACTGAATGACATCTTATTGAATAAGATTCTAAGTATTCCAGAAATTAATCGTGGATTGAGTTGCAGATCTTTTAGATCTATTTCACATATCCATCAGACAAGCGTTTTGCTATTTGCCCCACTGCATCCACATGGATACGGATAGACTGTCAATCTTGATTGCAGCCACGCCAGTGAATCCTGTTTAGAACAAAATGGAAGATCCTTTGATTCTCCTGTTTGCTCACGGATATGTGGTTCTTGAATTTATTATGATCATTGTCTAAATAACTAGAGGCCTCAAGATCAATTGTTCCTTATTCCTGAGACGTGGGAAACTTATGCTTGATGGTTCAATAAAATGGATTATTTTATGGCCAGGTAACAAAAACAGGTCTTGTTGTTCGTGAAGACCTATTTATATTTGAATTCGCATTTTGACTGCGAAAATTGGCTAAACATTGGTGAAAAGGGGCATTGATGACAAAATTCATCCATGTTAATATGTATATTTTACTTCAGTCTTAGTTCACACATGGCAAGGAACTTGAAACTTAGTGTTGAAATAATCTGCCACTTTCGAACCTAGACATCGGGGTTCTCACATGCCTACAAGGCTTCTTTACACTCTCAAGGAAACTACCATTGAAATTAAATTACTTTCGTTTACAGTCAAACGTATTTAAACTTGTAGCCACATCGATACGGAGGCAAAATCTAGTTAGTTCTTGTGTACGTTAATCTAACATGACCAGAAAACATTTCCAGCCGCCACCTCTGTGGGCAATCTTTAAACTACCGTCCAGCATTGACATTATGATCGAATCGACGGGTATTCCCATTTAATATGAATTTAAGGCATGGTTCAACATCTGCATATGCCGCCCATGCCCTGAATGGTCCATGAACGGTGACGTCATATCGTGTCCATAGTTTAGCATGCCTGAGATCCTGCCATTTTCCATCATCATTCCATCCCCGTGCTGAAAGTTCTGTGCCATTGAATATGGCGGTGGAGGAAGGTCGCTTGGGGATAAACACGAATAGTTGTTGCTTTGTCCTGAATTCGAGGGTGGCGTAGGGTAGAAAGGCTCCAGATTCGGTGGAGGAATGTGTGGAAAGCTCTCATGCATAGGTATCATGTTATCAAACGGTTGTAAATGGTTTGAAAATGGTGTTGTAAGCGGAGTGTGTGGTGGTGTATCGCTTATGCTCGAACAATCTCGCCTACACGATCGTTTCTTGTCATCGCATTCCAAACCCGACCTGCTTCGCGTTTTAACTTTCTTTTTGGACTTCGCTGATCGTTTGGATGGACTATCATCCATTTGGTTGGGATTATTTTTCTTAGCAATTTTCTTTAGCTGAAAAATGGAAAACAGTATTAATTTGAATTTACAAAATATGGAATGGTGAACTGAAAAATAGGCAATGGTATTTCTCCTTCCTCGATCAATGCCATGTGGAAAGAGCAAACTGTGCAATAGCAAATGAAACAATTGCAGAAAGCTATGTTTTCAATTTTAGTTTTTGCTTCATTCGTTGCATAATAAACACAGGGCAGCATTTAAACATGATACATTAGATCACTTCTGAACTTCTAATAAACAGGCATTTCATAGAAGCAAAGATAGCAAAGATGGAAAACCTTTGTCGAACACCTAGCAAATATTTTCAGTAAACACCGACAATAAGTGACGAGTGCTTTGATTATAGTGTACCTTTGCTCGCTGGTTTTGGAACCACACTTGAACAACTCGAACACTTAATCCTGTATCACGAGACAATTCCTCTCGAACCTGAAAAATAAAATACAATGAAGATGATTTCTAATAGCAATTTTTCTTACTGAGGGCATAAATGCATTTCTCAAGAAAAACACATACGGTACAATGAATTATGCGAATTCAACTCTTCTTCCCTAAAGCCAATATCTGCTTTCTTTTCATTCTTTGTCACAAAAACAGGGTAAGATATCAGCCAGACCGCAATGCTCGGTGCTTTTCAAATGGTGCTTGGAATATATTTCTAAAAATGCTTCATACTACATTTCTGCAGTATGAAAACAAAGGAAGTTTCAGATTTTCATCTCAAGCTCCATCTTCTTTTGTAAAGTTTTTATTTTTCTTCCTCATTTTATACTTTGATGATCTGTCAAACATATTCGAATAGCTTGAAAAAAGCAAACATTTAGTAAACTAAAGCTTTTCGTCTGACACTCTTCAGAGTTTAAAACGTCAGAACATAGATCGAAAACTCTACGCTAAGAAATATATATACCCAGTTGTGGATCGAAATAGGCCAATCAGAACACGAGCACATGACTGTAAAGGTTGACCAATCAGTGCCGCTTGCCTATTAGAATGTTACCAAATGGAGTCCTAAGGTGAAAACGAACTCCTTTTGTCTACACAGTAGCGGTTTTTTCGTGCTTATGTAGATAGATTCTAAAACTGCTAGTGGAACGACGATCGGGCTTACCATATCAGAAACTGTCGCCATTATAGTTTTTTGCACAATCTGGGTTTTCTAGCAAATGCTGCCCGATAGCAGAATCGCAGGTTTTATTAGTAATTTTGGATTTGCAAGACCGAGGTGGCTGTTCTCTTTGGGGGTGTGTTTTGTTTCTAATATTAGATGGAACGTGTTGTTTTATCCTATCCTCCAATCTTTGGGTGGTGCGTCCTACGTAGCCAGAATCACACTGGCACGTGAATTCATACACAACAGAACTTTTTTTTTGTGGCAGGAACGCAGTCCTTTTGAATGGACGGAAGGGCCTTTTTTGTACTGTAAACAACACGTGGGTTAACCGCGAAGAAATAATTGTTTCTTCGCGGTTAACCCACGTGTTGTTTACAGTACAAAAAAGGCCCTTCCGTCCATTCAAAAGGACTGCGTTCCTGCCACAAAAAAAAAGTTCTGTTGTGTATGAATTCACGTGCCAGTGTGATTCTGGCTACGTAGGACGCACCACCCAAAGATTGGAGGATAGGATAAAACAACACGTTCCATCTAATATTAGAAACAAAACACATCCCCAAAGAGAACAGCCACCTCGGTCTTGCAAATCCAAAATTACTAATAAGACCTGCGATTCTGCTATCGGGCAGCATTTGCTAGAAAACCCAGTTTGTGCAAAAAACTATAATGGCGACATGTTTCGGATTATTGGTAAAGCCCGATCGTCGTTCCACCTAGCAGTTTTAGAATCTATCTACATAAGCACGAAAAAACCGCTACTGTGTAGACAAAAGGAGTTCGTTTTCACCTTAGGACTCCATTGGTAACATTCTAATAGGCAAGCGGCACTGATTGGTCAACCTTTACAGTCATGTGCTCATGTTTCTGATTGGCCTATTTCGATCCACAACTGGGTATATATATTTCTTAGCCTAGAGTTTTCGATCTATGTTCTGACGTTTTAAACTCTGAAGAGTGTCAGACGAAAAGCTTTAGTTTACTAAATGTTTGCTTTTTTCAAAGCTATTTACAAGTTTTGTACCACCAAAAGATTGTTTACAAACATATTCCTATAGTATTTTTCACTTCTATTCAAGACACATGCCATTAACTTTATATCACATGGGAAACAAACTCATTAAGAATAAAATATTGTTTTATTGCTGGTTATTTTATTTTATAGCCGCCAAAGTTTTTGAAGGCTGCTACGACTTTGAAGCAGACTAAATCATAAAAGAATTGCTACTTTTAGTTGTTGTTCATATACATATTTTGAAGTTCGGGTATGATATGAACCTAGTAAGATAACTATGTTTCGCGAGAAAATACAAAGCAAGTGATGTCACACTTTATGAAAAGTAAGACGAGTTTTGAAGATGGAAATCAAAGCACCTTTCTACATGGTTTTGGTGTCATCTCGAAGGAAGCCTTGAAGGCTTTTCTTTGAGCACTTGTCAATATTGTTCTTGGCCTCTTGGGTGATTTCGTTTCGCAGCTAATATCACTGGAGACTGGCGATGCTTCACTCTTATCCGAAGCAGCTGCGTAGAAAAAAGCATTTAAGTCATAAATCCGTGTGATGTAGAATGCAATGCTTCCTTCTATCAAGGTGCAATTTGTGCAACTGTGGAGACAAAAATCTAAGTGTTTTAACAAGAGTAAACTGTGTTTCAGAATAAGAATTAAAGAACCAACAAATACTTGGGTGATATGACTGGGTGTTCTAAAGCTCATTTCTACCCCATTGCCATCACATAAACACATAAAAGAAGTTGCTAGGGAATTGCTGACAAAACAAAACACTTTTCCGAATTTGGGATTTTAAAAAATATGTTCTTTATTCAATCAAAGCATCTGTTCTGAAAATTTACTTTATTGAAAAAACATAAATTAATTTATGGCGTTCTAATGACAAGTACACATTTCTATACATAAAAAGGTAAAAGAAGCTAGTATAAAGTAAAAAAAATTATTAAGTTAGTACTGAATCAAAGTAGAGATTTAAATGGACTAGGGTAAAACTGCTTGATAAATACACATTTGACTCTATCCAAGCTAACTTTATTTAAAGTCGAGCCTGCTACGATCTCTTTTGGTGCTAAAGAATAGGAGAGAGTGAGAAGGGAACCTTTATATTAACACAGGTCATGTATATGGATCCCAAAAGTTTTCATTGGGTTTTTTTATATTTAGATACTGCCTTACAGCCCAAAATCTCGAGAGTTTGCACATTTTAGTGATTTCGATAATGATTCTATATTGACAAGGGAAGGTGTTAGCCTGATTTGTTCAGATTCACAACACAGATTCACATTCACATCACAGAAATCTGCGCTAATGGTTCACATCATCTATAAACTCTAAAAAAAAGACCGACCTTGATTATGTAATGCCTAGAGAAATGTATGACAAAAAATTTGTTGATATAGATGAAACCTGAGAAAGGGCCAGATGTTGAAAGCAACTTACTAGGGTGGGATAAAAAATGCCGTGCGTATCCAGCTGCTTATACGAACCAGCCGAAATCATGTATAATCCGATTCAGTTTGAAGCCTATTATCATTCACCTCTCTGTATCTTATTTTATTTCACATTTCATAGAGTCATTTCTTTCTTCGATCGACTTTACGTGGTGATTTTTTTAAGAAAAAAGTGAACAGGTATTTGCCCCCAGTGTTCAGAGGAAGTGGGTTGCCTGAAATAAGTGGGTTATCATCATCATTATCATGAGAAAACTTTTGATGATTAAAAGGTCGTGCTCAAATTGTCTCATCGATAAAATCATAAAATAAAGGAACGGATTTTAGTTGAAAATTTCAATATTTGGCGAGAATCATAAAGACTTTTTTGTCTTTTTAGCATGAAGGGTTTGATATGCTGTAAATTTAACCAGTTTTGTCTTTTAAGAAATGACATTCTTCATAATAAATTTGGGTCAAACACTGGTGATTGAAGCTTCACCATAATGGCAGGTCGAGTGTAACATGTACGATATTGGCAATAAGCAAGGTGATTTATGTCCGATTTCAAAATAGCAATATCTCCTCTGTAATATGGTTTGTGATTAAAAAGACTATAGATTTTACGCACGTAAAGCAAAAACAAAGATATCTATTTAGAGACAAGTGCTTGCTTGCATCAGATCATTTAAATAAGAACTTTTTAGGGTCATAAAGCTAAAAGGGATGCTACCTATGAAAGCTCTTTCTTGTTATGTTTCAGTCAGTTGTCACTGATTTGATTTATTTGCATTTATATCGGAATTTTGAGGCATTTCTTCATGTTAGGTAAAAAGCTACAAATTCTAACAATTCTCAATTTTGAAAATTTCGAATATTTTTATGACGTCACACCTCGAACTTCTACATTTTGGGAGTTTTGATTGCAAAAAGGAAAGCTTGGATCATAAAAAAACAGAAACTGCAAACAACACATTATATGATCTCCATCTAACACTGAAAGTTGAACGACAAATTCATTTAAAGATACTGGTATTAGCTGTGAACACTCTTCCGTAGTTCGTTTGCAATTGTGCCTTAGATAGACCGTGATTAAATATATGTTTCGCATGAATTCTTTCAAATTACAAAATGCTTTGTCATTAAATATGGTCGAGAAATGAGCAAATCGCTCAATCGTGCAATTCGTGACAGATCGTGCAATTAGAAGAGCGATTACACATATATGTAGGATTCAGAGCTGATATTTGTTGAGTGAAAATCTTTTGGCAAACGTAAGAGAAATTCATACAAAACAAAGGCCAAAAGAAAGGGTGTCGAACTGAAAAGAAAGGACGATTAGGTCTCTGCACAATAATCGGAAAAGTAAAGAGTGGAAACCATTACCGACAGATATCATTGATCTCCTTATACACAGATCGGGTAATATTTGAAGTATTACTTTACTGGAATCCAGAAGAGTCATTTTAAAAAACAGCTTGATCAAACTGGTAAAAAAATCTGCTGAGAAGTAAAGAATGAAGACATGTTTGGATTTAAAGAGAGCTCTTGTGATCGCAAGGATCAACTGAGGATAGAAGATTTGAACTGAAATCAAGAAGCTGCCTTGATTTTGTTGACAGTTGCATAACAGCGGTAATTGACAGTAATGAAAGAAATGTGTCATGTTTACTTACCATGTGTGGAGTCTGATATGACATCTTTCTCGGGCCTGATTCCATTCAGGTCTTCTCTGCAGAAAAGCCGGTCATCCTTTAATCCGAATTCATCACCCTTCTCCAGTGACTGGCCACACTCGTAGCATTTGAAACAATGAAGATGGTATACATTGTGCATTGCTCGCATCACCAGCTCATTGGCAGCTATATCTTGTTTGCATGTCGAGCATTTAGCACCAAAAAGTCTGAAAAAGAATTTTAGGTGCCATATCAACAACCTGTGCATTTGTCTATTGGGAGGAATAGACTCTTGAACCAAATTATGTTTCGAAGCTAAGCGGACAGAAAGATTAGTGATTGTCATTAAATGATCTTTAAAATCATCATAGAAACAAATAATTAAAAACGAAAATTAAAGGCTAGTGAATTTAATGAGGAATTAATCTGTTAATGAAACTAAAGAAATAAGTGGGGAGAAACAAATAACAATGCAAAATGTATGAAGGCTTTGTTATGGTAGACACACAAAGCCTCACTTAGAGACCTGAAAGGATATTTCAACTTCTGTCATCAACAGAGTTCCAGAGTGATGACTTCAAAAAAATCTATTTTGAAAAGATATTGTATGTTAAGGTCACAAATTGGCTGAAAAATGGCCAAATGAGAACAGGCTCTTCCCCCATAAAATCACTGTAACTTGGTTTCGGTTCTAAAATCGATGCACCAGGCCATAACAAGAGTATAACCTTTAGCAAAACTCAATATTTCATACTTTCAGCTTATCCACGTGATTTATCTGGTTATGCAATTTTAAAGGAATTGTATGTTGTTCCTTAATGTTATGTGATCAAAAGCTAAAAATTCTAAAAGTTCATTAATTCGAAAAATTCATAGATTTTTCATAACGTCACGCTTAAGAACTCTAGATATGGAGATTTGATTGCAAAAAAGAAAGATAGGACATCACATTATTGACACAAATTCATTTGAGGACGGGGCTCGGATCGATACCTAAAGACTCTTTATTTAACAGCATTCTCGAAGCTTTAGTTTTTAAAATTTGGAATAGGCTAACGACACTTGCATCCAAATTGGTGACTCAAGAGACATTCATAATAACGGATAAAGAGGCAAGACTCCACGGCATCATTATCATAGTCTTCTAATATCACAATTTTAGTTTTCTTCTTATGTCAATATGGAAAATTCACAATAAATTTTACACTTTGTATCGGTGGCCTTATGTCGAGCCCTGGCAAAAACCACGCAGAATATGTGGAGTTGGGGGTGAGGTGGGGAGAATGATGGAAACAAGATGGGATATGTTGGATGGATATCTTATAAACGGCGGTGTATTAATCTACAAAGGCGGTCACAGCAAGAGAAGTGTAGGTAGATCCATTTCCCTATCAGGGTTTAAGGGCCACAACCTTTCAAGAGCAAATGCTTGCTAAGGTTTTCCCAACTATGAATTAGTCAGCAACTAAAGTTTATACACAACGTAAGAAGAGATTGCATTCATCAAACGAGTAAGAATTTGCTATTTATTTTGAGATGTGAACTTGATGTTTGCAACACAAAATCCAAAGCTTTCCTTTGATTAATTGTATCATTTGCCTATATGTAATTCACTCAAGATAACCCCATGTTTCTAGCATCTTTTGATTAATATTTTATACGCTTGCTTGTGAAGTAACGACTGCACTAAGAATAGATTTTCTAGTTTTCCTGCTATCACAGGTAGTTCCTACCAGCCAGTGTAAGGTTAACGTCTTGCGGGTTTCCTGTCGTCAAGGTTCTAGACAAGACAAGCATAATCAAAGTAGCAATAATGTTTTGCTCTAAACATTAAATTTGGTTGGGGCACTCTGAGTTGATATTGACATCGTTTAGGATACATAAATATATCATGAAGAAGCAGAAATTGATATCACTCAGATAGAAATATAGATAATATTCAGGTGCAGGTACAGATATTATCAAGAGAGCGATATAGATATTGTTCAGGTACAGGTAAAGATATTATTCAGAGACAGATATAGCTGTTACTCAAATCCAGATAATGGAGTCTATAGAATTACAAGATATAGAGGTCTTTTAGCAGAGTCTCTTATAGCGGATAGCGTTCATAACAGCTATTAGTAAATAATTGCAACCTTCTCCTGACAATTATGCCATTTTAAGAAGTGAACAACACAAATGGTTTCTGGTAGAAAGCTGCATTTGTGGGAAAAAGGTAATGTTATATGGGAAGCTTAATGGAGGAAAGAATATTCTACAGCAATCTATGCGATGCTTCTTCGTGCAGTCTGTCATGACTTTATTGAATGGTTCTAAGCGATAGAATAATCCAGTTATCAATTGCTTAGAGCTCACCCTTTCCAATTTGTATTTGTAAGCTCCAAACTTTAATTTGGAAATAGTGGATCTACAGCTGGCAGCATACGCTGTAGCTCCATTGGACCCAAAAATACATTGCTTACTTAAGCTCCGAGTACGGTGAGTCGTCTTGGAAAGGCGACAAATTTGCTAAAAAGATCAGCTACAAAACTCTGTACGTATCTAGATAATCAATCGCACAGGCGACAAATGTCAGTGTATTACAAGCTGTATTTAAACAGCTGAGACTCGATTTAGTATAAATCCTATCTGATTGCAGACGCTGTGTTTACATCTTACGAATGGCTTCTACTAATCTACAGACTTCTTAATTGCATGCGATTTTGATGAACAAAGTTTTATAATTGTAACTTGTCGGCGGATGATCATCACCAGTGTGGATTTGCATCATGACTATTTCAGATAAGACGGCCTTTTGGCAGCTGCTCTATCCAAGGATCGTTTTACGTTTTCAACGACACTGCTAATTGAAAGTTGTTAGTTCAACAGTTAACATAATCCACACATGCTTGCTTTTCGTAACAAATTGTCTAATATTGATTAAGTCATTTTTCCTTAAACTTCAATTTGGGATGCTTTCGTGTTTAAATTTGTCTGTCGAATAGCTCTTTTAAAAAACTGAAATAACACAGTCACAACCTGGAGTCGAAGTATTAATTCGTCTGGTAAATCAACTTTCAGGCAATCCATCGAGGCAATCTTGGTTCAGGTAGCACAATGAGAAATCTAATTCATGAAAGACGCCTTGAAACTTCCTAGTTTAGCTAAAATTAAGAGTAGCACAGCTAGCCTATGTCCTGCAAAAGGCTAATCTCAAAACTGATATTTGACATTAGCTAGTAATATTCTAATTTTACATTGATGATCTTGTTTCAATGAAATTTGAACACATAAAGCTGCAATTTTTCAACTCAAAGGGATTTTGCAGCATTGTGCAAATTTCTATCCAAACGATGGCTGCTACCTTCTTAAGTAAAACAATCTTTGAAATTCATTCAAACATTTTGGTATTTCTTTAGAATTTGATCAAGATAATTTTAGCTGCATTAAAATGATCTTACTACTTCGTTTGGTCGCTTCTAGTTGAAATCAAGGTACAATGAACCTATAGGCACTGTTAAATGATCAAAACAAATGAATTATGGGAACTACGAGAAGCTTGCACTTTTCCCTAGAAGTACAAAATAAATTGCCTCTTTGGAAACGATACGTTCAAAGGATGCTACTTCATGTAGTTCACAATCTCTTTTCTTCATCCACCGTGTCAAAATATCAAAGAGAACAAACAGAGATACCGATTTGCGATTATTCATTTCACGAGTAAAAGGACTGTTTTTACATCTTGATTTTATGTGTTAGCGATAAGTGATATGATATTCCGTGCAAAAGGATCAAAAGAATATGGCCCACGTGCTACTTAACCCCTTCTTTCGTTGATCAAACAGTTCTAGTTTCAGACTGGAGACGCTCTTCATGGCTATTGCCTGACAAAGTATCGATAGAGGACATTGGATCTAAGAGTATACGGATGTTTAGGTACACGATGTTTCATAGTGAACTCAATTAAAGTCTCCAGCACGAGTTTCAGCAAAACGAGACATTATTTATCAAACTTAACGCTACGTTTTCAGGCAGCTTATGGGAGCTAACATTACTTCGTTTCACCTTTACTCTGCAATACAATATCTCATTCCTGCAATGAAATTTACAAGCAACACTTAAATATTCTTTCACAGTGTACTGCAAAAGAAAGCCGTGCACTTTTATCACATTTATCATTTTTATCAGTTCAGATCTTATCTCTACATGGAAAACACACAAATCAGAAAATGGCTTTAAGAAAAAAAGCCGCGGGATTTCGGGAAGAGATTTGTTCTAAAATTGGATTATGACTTTAACAAAATGGCAGTTAAACATTAATCTATCGAAACCTGACGCAGTTACAAGCTCATCTTCTCTAGAATCAGGCAAGTAGAGACAAATCTGGAATTAGGTCGATAAAAAAGATAAAATCGCATTTCAGCGTACAGCTCAAGGCTTTGACTGTCAATTCTTTTCATACTGTACAAGCAATCCTTTTATTTAACAATTTTATTCTGCATTTAGGCTAGACAAGAGCGACAACCGAACTGAACGGGCGTCACCTTCTCGTGATCTAGAATAACGTCATGTTCTCCTTGGTGAACGAGCCTTGACGATGCTCTCTGATTCTCCTTAATTCTTTGCTATTTCTTCAAGACTACCGATGTAAATATCTAGCAGTGGATGCAGATTAAGTCATGTCAAAAAATTTGTAGCGGAGTCTTGGTGCTAAAATTTGCCTAGCTTTTTGCCATCTTGTTGTAATTTTTGTAGACAAACTGTCCGTGCTTTGTTGCAATAGAGAAACACCTTTCTAATAAGTTAAAACAAGGCATGACTTGATAGTTTGAATACATTTTGTATTGACTGACATGATACTTTCCTCACGAACATCACTCGAGTGTACGCCACTTTCTCAGGATCGTTTTCGATTAGTATTGATGTTTCGGTTAGTATTCTTATCGAAATTCTTAAACAAGACTTTTCCATGACATGTCATGTTATCATATACTTTTGCAGAACATAAGTATAAACCTTTCAGGTTGCTTGATTGCTGATTATTATATTAACCATGCTGTTAAATAGTCTTATTCGGAAAGAATACTTATTGGCGGTAATTTGTGTTATTGATAGCATTTTATTGCCGAGGTTTTATTCGAAAAAAGGGCCTTGTCCAACCAGTGCCCTGCCACGCCTACAGGCGTTCTAGAACTTAAAGCGCAATTTTTTTGTCAGAACAATACTTGAGGTGCGTTGTTGTGTG